AAAATATAGTAGAAGAAACAAAAGAAGCTTTGGCTAAGCGCGAAAAGAATGATCATTAAAGGGAATGATCATCCGCAGTGCTGGTTACAGAAATTTCACTTTAAAGAATGCACTGAATGAACGACCAAGAGATCGACATCAGCCAGCCCCATCACACGACGATCATGGGCTCTCCCCAGTCCGCAAAGGTTGCCCCCGGGCCCGGGGGCCATCGAAACGATGCATTATTTATGCTGCAAAGTGGGGCACAGAGCATCCAGCACCACGCCCTTGGTGGTAGAAATGGCCGATGGATGCCGATGCCGATACCGGTACTGTAGCTGCTGCTGCTGCTGCAGCAATTGCGTGAAAGTTGCGGAAGCTGTCGAACTCCAAAGCTATCCTCCAGAAAAAGCGAAAGGGCTTGGGGCCGGGCACACGTGCACCGCACCGGCAGAGATCGGGCCATAAAAACTGCCATTTCGGCAAGTTTCTCATGCCGGAAAGGCAGTCAAAGTCAAGGAGGACGGCAGGAAGGCAGGAAGGAAGGCAGCCAGGGTGGGCAGGTCGCTTGATGGGAAGTGAAACCCTTTCTCTTTCGAAAGAAAGCGATTGCGGAGCCAGCCTGGCAGTGCTGCTGGCAGTGTGAATTTCTGAACAAAAATTTCAGCGAGCAACTGCACTCATGTGCCATAAAAGTTTTTCACGCATTATATAAGCATTTTATGTGTGCGACGGTGGCGGTGGTAGCGCTGGTAGCGCTGGTTCCAGCTTCCCTTGTCTCATATTGCGCCATCATTTGCTTACACTTGGCCATCAATTATTCAATATGAACGTCATTTAACGCCACAGAAAATTACATAAAAAGGAAAAGAAAAACAGCGCTAATAAATTATTAAATAAGTGCAGCAATAAACTAGAAATGGACAGCATAAATACCAGCAAACCACGAACGTGACACACTCTCTTCTCTCTTCAAACAAAACTAACCAGAATTGGATAACCACAAAACTGTGTTCAAAACTGTCAAACCACAGCCTGTAGCGTTGACTTTTTACTTTAAAGTGTTTTAGATTTAAACAAACATTTATGTTTAGGCCAAAGTTAATTCTACTTTTAACTATCGCACTTATAAAATTAATATATGAGCTCGTTTTATTTGTACTATTACATTTTTCTTTGACCAAGTGTCGATATAGTTTATATACGCCCGTTCGCAAGTCTTTGTCCGTGCTTTGCTGTTGCAATCACCATCAGCGGCCGCATCGAGATGTAGCTGTAAATTTTTGGCTGCCTGTTGTTGAATTAGATAATTTTAGATTTGAGCAATATCCATAAATGTTTTGTCTTTGGTTCGGTGTAGGTTTCCCATTTGGAAGCTGCACATTAGCGCTCCGCGGCACGGCACGGCGCTGAGGCGTCATGGAAAGTGAAAGTGATGCCACAGATTACATACAAAATTCGTGCATTTATAATTTGGATCTTCGATCAGGTTGCCAGGTGTGCTAAAAACAAGGCAGGCGAGAAACAACGGTTATGCTAATGGGCGTGGCAGGTTTTCGAGCTAAATGATTACAACACAAGCCGCTAATTTGTGTCTGCGTGTGTCTGCGGTCGGGCTGACCTTTCCCTGCGCCTGGCTGTTCGTTCCCATGACAGGGTAGTGAGCACCAACCAACAACAAAAACCCCAAGCTACCAATTAGATGAACTGCCAGTTGACGGTAAAAGTAGTCATAAATGAGCAAAAGTGAGCTTGCAGCTAGCTCGCTGGCTGCAGCACTAGACAAGCCAGCGGGCACCACGACTGTGTGGCATAAGTCGAGGACGGTGGCCCGAAGAAATTCTCACATTTGGAGAGTCATAAAACGATGATGGAAAGCTAAATTTGAATGTTATTCGCATTGGGCAAACCCACACGGAGATATTTTATGGTGTGGGTAAACCCCTTTATTGATTTTAATGTGAATAATAATTATTATAATTATAAATTACAATTTATTTAGCAGTTCTGTCAATTAACTTTGCACAAATAAAGATGGCAAACTCTCTGCAGTGTTAAAATAATATTTAAATGAGTTAATAGCCTTGAGGTATATTTTTGTAATTAAAGAGCAACCAAAGTTCGCATTCACAGTGAAGATAATTTGCGCGCATCTCATCTTTGTCTTTTCTATCCTCAACTGGGCCAAAGAAAGAAACGCCCACTTGCCTCTTTTTATGGAGGTTGTAAGTTCAAAATGAAGCTATTAAGTGGCAGTTACAGTTGCAGCTTTAGTTTGTTTTGCGTTTTCACCCTGTGATTGACTGCAGGGGCATGGGCATCCGTCTTATCATTGACATTGGTACTCATGGCTGCAGCTATTGTTGTCGGTAACGTACTGCAGAGTGTCAACACCCACTCGGTGGCCATGGCCATGGGAATGGCAATGGCAATGGCAATGCGGGAGTGCTAGGTCCGGCAGTCACTTTGTCATTTACCCGTTCATTCGTTCGTTCGTTCGTTGGTTCATTCATGCCGTTTGTTAGCTTACATTTTCAAGTTGCAATGTTGCACGCGCCACCGCCACCGCCACCGCCACCGTCACCACGTTCGCCTCGCTCTTTGCTCTTCGCTCGCAAAGGCAGTGAATGTTGTTGTCTATGGTACAAAAACAACAACAACAAAAAAAGGAAAATTTAAGCTGAACTTTCTTTTTTTGTATACTTTGTGTACTGCTGGCTGTTGCAGCCTGCTCTGTGGCAGTGGCAGTGTCAGCCCCGGCAAGCACTGCGATATAAATAAAATATATGTACGAGTATATTCCAACGCCACGCTGCAGCCTCTTATTGTTATGTTCACAGGCACATTTTGGTTTTTATGGTCTTGCAGCTGGAACTGAACTCGTGGGGCTGTTATGAGTTTGCTCTGCATTTATTCAGGCTCCAGACAAAGGCAAAACATAACCTGTTGATATGGCGGGGCCACAACAATAGAACCAAAAGCGGTTCACAGGCCTCCTCAAATGTCGATCCATTGCACTCGGGAGATGGTGCATCGCATCTCTGGGGCATGGGCATGGTGGCATGGTGGCATGGCTGGGGTGAGAGGTTTTCCGGGGCCAACCAATGCAGTGAAAGTGTCGTTTCTCATCTGTCTCAGCACACTCTTACAAAATTTAATTAAATGTCAAATAATTCAACATTCGGGGTCCGTGCATCGGCAGTTTCGCAGATTTGCAGTTCGTACAAACGAATACTACCACACAATATGCTGGAGGAGTCTCACGCAATGCGTGGCAGCCCCTGCCCCTGGCCCCCGGACCATCGTTCACCCAGTGGACCCACCGCCAGATGCATATGAAATTCGCTTTCACTGACACTGCCAGTGCTGAGCTTGAGCTGAGGCTTTGGCTGATCTGGAAAAGCGTTTTCACGCCGCTTGGTGGCTTGGTGGCTTGCTGCTTAGTGCTTGGTGCTGCTTTGGCTGCCGAGTCCAATTCATAAGCGCATTTTTATTGCGTTTTCACACATTCATAACACTTTAATTAACTATTTTCAACACTTTCTTGGGGCCCGGCTCGGCTCGGCGCGTCGCGGCTCGGCATTTGTATCCTGCTCGCGGTCATTTGCCCAGATATTTGGCAAAAAACTCTCTCGCCGCTGGGCTGATGACTTTCATTTGTTTGGGGGGGCCCCACTGGCTGGCGAATGGCTACAGCCGGCTGGCTCCTGGCTGTCTATTTGCGTACTTTTACTTGTCGCATCCAGTTAGTTAGTCACTCTGGCTGCTGCTGGGACAGCCCGAGGCCTCGCTACTGGTGTTTGACAGTTGGTTGACTTTTTAGTCAATAACTTAGCGAGATAGTTTGCCCAGCTAGCCAGCTTCAGCTTCAGCTATTTGCTTGAGCCCCGTTTCTTATTTGACAACGCATAAAATTTGCACACCATTTCGTATGCAACAACAAGAAAGGGCAAAGGGCAAAGCAAAGCAAAGCAAACCACATACCACATACCTCAGAGATGTATCGTCAACTTTCCCTTTTCTGAATGAGGTTATGATTATTATTATTGGCACTGTCACCGGCCAACGCTGGAGTCGACTGGAGGAGCTCATGTCTTGGCGTGGCATAGATTTCCACCTGTCAGAACGTGCTCGTTTTTTTATGTAACGTGAGTTCTAATGGGCACAAGTGGAGGCCGTGACAACTGAACATAGAATCAGACCGCAGCCAGCTGCAGCTGCAACTGCTCCTGTTCCTGCCACTCGAATGCCATATTTAGAGCTTGGGTTCCACTGCTGCTACTCCAACTGCTGCTGCTGATGATGCTGATGATGTTGAAGCTTGAAAGGGAAATGCTTTTACTTACTTTTACAAAAATTCAATTTCAATTAAAGAGAAGACAATTAAGATTACGACTACGTTTTTTCGGCGCTTTTTGGCTTGCTTTTGGCCGGGTAAAAGTGACTTGAGTTCCCACAGGCAAAAGGCAGGAGGCTGGAGGCTAGAGGCTGCGGCAGCGGCAGTGGCAGTGGCTGTTGACAATGTTACATGAACTTCAGGCGAAAGCAGCGCTGCGGCAGAGCTGGCTTACAAATTACAGTAACAATGCTTTTCCAAGTCGGAGATTCTGCTGCTGCTGCTGCTGCCGCTGCTGCTCGTGCGATGTCGGCGTCGACTGAGCATTACCGTTGGGTTGGTTGGTTGGTTGGTTGCTGGGGCTGCTGGCAAAACGAAAGACTGAAGCGAGAAACTTGCACGACTAGTTTCGTAGCCGGGTAGAGAGAGCGGAGAGCGGAGAGCGTTGAGCGGAGGCATGGAGAAATGCTTTCGTTGGGGTCGGTCTGAGGCAGCAGCAGATGAGCACGCCTCTGCCGCTGCCCCAGCCACAGCCACAGTCGCGGCCAGTGCCAATGCCAGTGCCACTGCCACTGCCGCCGTATATAAATTGCCGTGTGCATAGGAAAATTGTATCATTTCATCCTTACCCGTCAAAGCAGCAGCACGCCAGCTAGCAGAGTTGTGTGGCACGCCCCGAAAACCCAAAAAGTTTTAATTTCAAAGAGAAAGTGCGTTCGTGCGGTAGCCAAAACCAAACAAAAAAGTGCACAGCCCTCGAAGGACTATAAACAACCAACAACCAACAACAACAAGTGCAAAAACAAACAACAACAAACCCAAAAACCCAAAAAGCAAAAATGGCAAACAATAAAGTTATTTTCGGTGTCTTGTGTTTGGTCACACTGGCCGCAGCCCTTCCGGCCGAGGAGACGCGCGGCCATGCCCGCAACGCAATCGGCGGCGAGAACGACATTATGGATAGCATCTACAGCGACTGCCTGAGGAAGGATTCGGTGTCGTGCGTCAAGTACAAGCTGTTCAACTTCGTGGACAAGGTGCTCGGTGCCCGCGACCAGTTCGCCCTCACCGAGGGTGTGACCGTTGTCCGATCCGCTGATGCCCCAGCGCAGGAGGCCGCTCGCTCCATCTCCGGCGACGAGTCGTTCGAGTCCCTGGCCCTCAACCGCATCAGCAGCTTCCTGAACTCGCACACCATCAAGGTTGAGCTGAAGGGCGCCGATATTGTCCAGGCCGTCAGCTCCACCGGACGCGCCCTCGAGGATGCCTCCGAGTCTCTGTTCGGCAGCAACGACCCCAACGCCCCCGAGGAGAGCCGTGGCAAGAAGAAGAAGGCCGCCAAGATCCTTGGCCCCATTCTGGCTCTGGTTGCCCTGAAGGCCGCCGCCCTTCTGCCCCTGCTGCTTGGTGCCATCGCTCTGATTGCCGGCAAGGCCCTGCTCATCGGTAAGATCGCTCTGGTGCTGTCCGCCGTGATCGGCCTGAAGAAGCTGCTCTCCCAGGAGAAGCACGTCACCTACGAGGTGGTCGCCCATCCCCATCACAGCAGCAGCCACTCGGCCAGCCACGACGCATACGGCAGCGGCTACAGCGCCGATGCGGGCGGCGCCTCCTCTGCTTCGTACGGCAGCAGCGGCCATGGTGGCTGGGGACGCTCCATCGATGCCCAGGATCTGGCCTATGGCGCCCAGAAGCCCCAGGCCTAAGTCAGCGAGAACAACAACCTGAAGCAACCAACCACAACCACAATCAACAACCATATTCACAAGAAGAAGAACATCACAAAAACGACTTGAGCCACGGCGCTCGTAAGAGACTCTTGAATAGGAGAAACATATTATTTATCGTTCGTTTTAATTAATTTATTAATTTAATTTATTTTATTTATTTCTCCACGCAAAACACGAAGAAAGCAAAAGCAAAAGCAAAACAAAAACAAAAAACAAAAAAAAGGCACAAAATTTGATAAAAAAAAATATGTTTAACAAGACAAAAGCGACATCTCGTAGCGAAAAGAGAAGAAGAATAAGCAAGCAGAATCAGCAGCAGAATCAGAAGCAGAAGCTAAACCAGAGCCACATTAGGTTTGTAATGCTGAGTGTTACATGTGCATCTAGTTATTATATACCCAATAATAACTGATAAAGCTAACGTTAAGATTGTAAAAAAAAGAAAGACAGCCAGCGAGAGTTGACGTCGGTCGGTACCTTATGCAACAGCACACATTTCCAAAATACTCATAAGTCCAGCGTTCAGCCTTAAGTCTAAGCTTGCACCAGCATTTCACACACACACCCAGCCCAGCTAATACCATTCTCTTCTCCATCATCAGCGCCCTGGAAGGACCTCAGACAGGTTGATGTTGTTCCCAAGCACATTGCACAATCGAACTGTATCTTTCTAACTCTGTTTCACTCCAGCGCACTTTCACTCTCACTCTCACTCACATCTGTCTTACTGTCTATCTATCTATCACTATGACTATCACTGTCTGGCTATCTCTATTTCTATTTCTGTATCTGTAACTGTCTCTGTCAAACTGTCTTTCAGACTATATATCTATCACTGCCTATACCAAAACAATCTGTCGATTGCCATGCAATCGTTTCAACGTACAAATCTGACCTATACTTAACTCTATACTGTACTACTCTAACCTGTACGCTCTTTTGCTCAGCTATCAACTATTCTTCACATGCAATTCTAGTCTTACAATACAACAAAATCAGCATCAATGAAACAACACCAAGCATGCCTACTATTAGCTTTAACACTATCAACTAGCTCTAACTCTATCCACCTGTTCTTTCTCCACATCTCTCTCTATATCTCTCCTCTGCCGCTCTTCTGGCTTTCCTTCTAGATCTTGAGTCATAGTTTTGGTCATTTGCATGCCATAACTTGCCATAGGTTTCTACATACACACACGCACAAGTACCACACCAAACTGAACTCATTTTCCAACTCTGCTCCAACTATTTCTTCACCGAAGCTCACACTCAATCTCAAAACTCTTTCAAAACTTCCACTTTAACTCTTCAACTTTCTCATTTCTCTGTGCACCTTCATCTCGCTATCGCAGTCTCTCTATCTCTCTCTTTCTCTCTCTCTGTCTCTCTCTGTCTCTATCTCTGCCTATGCATCTCTCACTTTCTGGCGCTCTACTTTCCAAAAACAAATACAAACGCACATACTCGTGCCGTTTTCTGTAACCATAGTTCACTGTAATGTTACAAATATTTTTTTTATATTTTAAATTAATATTTTAACTCCTCAATCGTACTCCTCTCGTACTACTCTCGTACCTCCCATCTATAAGCGACTTGAGCCCTTGCCGGGCCTGTGTGTTTGCGTCGGGCTCTCTTATATTGTGGCCTTAAACATATTTTTAATCCGCTTAAAAATACTCTGTTTATAACATTTGGAAAGCTCTCTAGCCGCAGGCCGTAAGCCTCGAGTCGCCCAGCACGTCGGCCACTTTAATTTAAATATTTAAGCAAAGTCGTATGGCACTTTCACAACTATCACAACTTCAACAGAAGAAGGAAAAGGAGAAGCAGAGCAGAAGCTGCAGATGTGGGCAACTCCCAACTCACACACAAAATCACACAAAATCACGCACAAAGGAATGTAAATTTCATAGATTACAATATTCTTTCTCTATCATACACATGCATGTCATTAAAAAATGAAGAAAAACAATACACACAAAAAAAAAACAAAAACAAACGTTGAAAAAATACAAGCAAGGAAGATTAATAAATAAAAAATCAATGAAAAATCAAGCAAAGAGTTTATAATTTATGGCATACCATCGGGTCGGGTGAAAGCGAAACGACAAAACTGAAATCCATTATGCATAATTCCCCCCAGCCTCGTTTCCCAGTCCCCAATCCCCCAGACGCACCTCTCTGCTCAAACTCGAAGTCGAAAAGTTGCCGTTGACAAGTCCATCTTTGGCCGAAATGCTTTCATTTCAAGTGAAATTGATTTGCGACCCAGTTGCCCAAGCCTCATAAAGATTTGCCCGCTAATAGGTGTAAATAATTATGAGTCTGGTCTGGCCAAGACAGGTTAACAAAAAAAAAAAATACAGCGACAGCGAGTTGCCCGCCAAAGTGTGCCCCGCTGGCTTTCGACAGCGGCAGCAACCGACAGTGAAAGTAAACAGTTAGGAAACCGAAACAGCAGCTCAGGCCGCAATCCAAAATCCAGAAACATCGCCACCAACAAATACAAAACGTGCAGTGAAAAGTCCAAGTCCGAGCCGAAGAAATTGTGGCACATGGCCAGAGCCGAAAAACGTTTTCCAACCGCTAAGCTAAAGCTGCCGCTGCCTCTGAATGGTCGGGGAAAAAAAAACCAAAACAAAAGACAGGCTAACGCGATTTAATGTTAACAACTCATTTGAGCAGCTGCCAAGCTTGGGCAAACATTGACTGACCAGTGTCAGCCGCAGCTGCCTGAGCTACTCACTTCAACAAAGATTACAAAAAACTCTTGGGGTATACCTTGAAGGTGGCCCCCCTTTGACATCTAACGGTGGGTATTGGATGAATTGGTGTTCTAATAATATTTGGATTGCATTAATGCTGGTTAAAGTTAGTGGAAGAAAGTTAATTTACGGATTGGTCGCATCGGAGATCCCTGTCAGATGCCCACTAAATATTTATACACCCAACGTTTCAGCTTTGGCATCAGCCAACCATTATGCTCCACTACAGAACGGTATTTTCAAACACTAATTTGATAATTGTTTACTTTCTTTGTTTCCAATGCAAATGAAATGAGCCTCAGCCTATTTTCGATTCTAATAAATTTTGTTAGTGGCTGGTGGGGTAGTTCGACTGTATGCAAATGCGACTAACCAAAACGAAAGCCTAACTAAGTGATTTAGAGCGAACAACCGTTGTGCCGCTAGAGAAATGCGGTTCTTCGGTTGCAGCCAAACTGGTGCAGCATCACCAGCAGCAGCAGCAGCAGCAAAATCAGCTGCATCGCTGCTTGGCTACCAATTTCACATTCTGAAAAACCAGATAAAAAAAACCACAAAATTTGCAATAATTCATAAACCGGCAGCGCAATGCTCGCGCACACACAAGAAGAGTTAATGCAACGGCGGCAGCAACAGCAACAGCAGCAGCAGCAGAATCAGCAGGAGGAGGAGAATCGTGCAGAGTGGCCAATTTGAAAGCAATTTCACTGTCAACTGGAAGGGGGATGATGTTCAAGCCAAGTGGATGCCTGCAAGGGCGTCGTCGTGCGCAGAATGTTCAGTGAAATGAAAACGAGTTTTTGGCTCAGAAAGCAGGTCAGCAGAACGTAGACAACCCGACAACAGTCCAGAGGAAAAAGTTGATTGTCGGCCTTGCTGCACTGCGCTTTCGAACACAGCCCGAGCAGAAAAAGACACAGCATAAGAAGGGAAGCGCCCCACCCCACCCCTACGCTTGACTAATAATATTATTAAGCGCTTTGAATTAATGTAGCTGCCATCATTTTCCGCTCTAGCACGTTTTTCCCACACTCAAAATACAAAAAAAGAAAGAAGAAAACAAAAAAAAAAAACAAAACAATTTATGTACAACGAGCTACACCATACACCACACACCACACGCATGATACTCGTATTTTGTATGTCTGTAATTGCTGGTGCTGTTCACGTTGCTTTGCTCACCGAGCATTTAATTTAATTTATTAGGCGCCATGATGCGCCAAGCCATTGCTTATGATTAATTGCAAGTTAATTGTACGCGCGGTTCCACAATGCAGCGAAATAGTTTGGTCACTCAAGCGTTTGTCTGCTGTCGTTAGTGGTCAATTTGCATTACGGAGTGCGGATACTTTGCAGATAGCGTTTCCAGCGGTTACCAACAATCGACAATAATTGACGAACGGTCGCCGGTAGTTCGGTCAGCGGTTGCACCGCCGCCTCGATGGTTATCGCGCATGTTGCGTGTTGACTTTGATTTCCAGTTCATTTTAACTATGAAGTGTGTGCGATTTAGTGTGGTTAGTCCAAGTTGCTTGGGTTTTATTGAACGTAAGCAAAAAGTGGCTTGAACATCAAAATAAATTTTAAATTTGTACATCTGTTATTGCAGAATACGCAATTAGGAAAGGGATAGGAAATTGAGATATCACTTCGAGAACTGAAACCTTGGAAGAGTATGAAAATTGGACATTGGAACACAAAGTACATCATGAATTTCCTGCACTTTCAATATTTGAGGGTGTACATATTTCGGGAATGTGACCCACCAGATCCGTACCAGATCCGTATCCACCGCATCTTTAACCGCCCCCGCTGATCCTCCTTCTTAGGCCTGTGTATCGGTGCCCGTTTCGAAGGGCTCGGCGTCGGCCTGCCATTCAATGTCAGCGCCTCGACGGCCTTAACAGGTGTCCGCCATTGGGCGCACCTTTTTTAGGAAATAAACATTTAAAGGTAAAACTGTAATAACAAAAAGTTTAAAAAATAGATAGCTCTCCGTTAAATGAGCGATTGCTATTAAAGCTGTGGGAATATTTACAAGATTCATTCCATGTCCCTTCCCCCATTTGTAGATTTTCTGTCACATCTGTCACCTTTTTGCTTACTGGTTATCACTTATCAATTCGTTTTCATTAGCACCTTAATAGTGCGCAGCGCCACCTTTTGGCATTTCCCCAAAGCTCGTCTGGTGGTCAAGGTTTCAAGCTTTCTTTCCATCTTCGTCAAGTCGAATCGAATCGGATCGAGTTCGTGTCTCAACTCTTTCGCTTGGCGGCTGCACTTTTTTCGCGCGCATCGAAAAGTATGCAACACAAAAGTAGCCAAGGATTATCTGCAAAATTGATGCCTTAGCCAAAAAAAAAACAGGCGAAGAATGCGACGATCGCAGCGTCATTTTGGTGCTTTCCTACGCTTTCGTTTTAGTTTAAGTAGTAGAAAATGAAGCAGAAAAGGTAGCAGCAGGGGCCGAAGGAGACTCACTCGTAATCGTCGATTTTTGGGATTGGGAAATTCTTGGTTATTGGGGGTGAAAAAAATATGAATTAAGGGAGGAAGAAATTTAGGTTTAAAGACAAATATGTTTTAAAGTAGTCTAAGAAACGTGAATAAGTGCCGTCTAACCGTTTTGTGTAGAGCGTGAGTGTCGGTGTGCAGCGAAGAAAGAGAGAGAGGAAAAGGTTGACATTTTTTTCTATGGAGATCTTTTGGGTATTTGCGATCATAATTTTATCTAAAAAACCTCCTACAGCTCCGGATTTCCGCGAGGAAGCGCTTCATCGTCGAACACGGAAAATAAGAGTGAGTGAAATCGGCCGAATATGCAAATTTAAATTGTGAAAAAGAAAAGCTCAGATCCATCTCAGTTCATTTTATTAGCCATTTTTTTTAGACATTTAAAATTATTTATTTCTTTTACATAGTTTACGTTAATTTATTTATTATTCTTCTCAGTGTTCATTTTCGGTATTAGTTTGTTGGTCGGAATTTTATGTTTAGGTTAATAAATTTTATAATGTTTAAATTCCCGTATTTGTTTTGCCTTCAGCTAGCTGATGTCCCCATAGGAGCTCTCGGAAAGCCATGGGGTCATTCTGGCCAGGTTACGTGATTCGGGAATGACCAAGGAAGGGAGGGTAGATACCCCTCATGAGACCTGAGGGGGGAAGAAAGGCATTCCGAGAGCAACCGAGACAGAGAAAGTCATACGTTGTGTGTATTTGGTAATGTTAGGTCCCCGTATTATTTCGTCGCAGCACGCACACATTTTAGCTTTCGCAATAAGGAGAATAGGCACACAATGGGGGTGGGCAAGATCACCACCCCACTTGCCGACGAGCCTCCCAGCCGGGACTAGCGTGCGCCCTTCTCCCATTTTATTCCATCGCGCCTGAATCGTTACATTGCGGCAAACTAGGTGACGACAGTGAATCTGCAGACCGACGGCTGCAGATAAAACAGATAAAAACCGAAAATGTGTGCATGGTTGCGGTCTAGTAAGTGGCGCCAAGAGAGCGAGATACAAAGGCGGTGGCCAACCGCACGAGGAACTGCAGCCTTGGCAGTGTCAGTGGCAATGGCAATGGCAGCGCTCTGGCAGCTGCAGCTCAATTCCAGAGAACGAGCGAGATGCAACTCTGAATATAATTACAAACGAACGCCGCAACTGCAACAGCAAGAGCAAGAGTAAGAGCAACGCTGCCAACTTGAGGCTGGGGGGAGCTGATGCCAGCAGATATTTCGGTTGCTTTCGCAGCGAAATCACGAAAGCGCAGCTCCACTGGCCATCCAGCTCCGCCAACTGGCTAATTGCCGTGATATTTAGACTAAGACACAAAAGTATGTTTTTCAATTTCAGCTGCCAACTGACATGCAAGGCGCAATTATACCGCCGCGGCGGTATAAAATGCATACGATCGGCTTGCCACCACTCAGTTGAACATCAAAAGTGCAGTGCCCCGTTTGGACGAGTTGCGTCAGTGCATCAGTGCCTCATCCACAAGGATAGCCCAAGGAGCAGCTTCTCAGCACCAGCATCTAACATCTGACAGACACCAGGCCAGGCCCCAGCACACCAGCTCAGACATGATCAAGTACGTGTGGCATGTGGCAGCCCTCATGATTGTCTTCTGCTGGCTCTCAACTGCTCGCAGCGCCAGCTACCAGCACCAGCACCAGAGTCTGAACAGCCTCGGCGTCGGGCAGAAGCCTCAGCCGCAGCCACAGCCGAGTGTCGGCCAGGCCTCCAGCTCCGCAGCCGCTCCGGCCGGCTTCTGGAAGGACATGTCGCTGGTTTACCGCATCTACCAGCAGTGCACGGGCGAGAATATGTCAGTCTGCTTGAAGGTCAAGCTGTTGACCGGCCTAGAGAAGGCCTTTCGCTCGGCCAAAACGCTGTCTCTCTTCGAGGGCGTGCAGTTCGTTGCCTCTGGAAGCGGCAGCGGCAGTGAGGAGCAGAAGCGGGCCAAGTTGCCGCCAATCAGTGAGCAGGACATTGTGGCTGTTTTGCCTCGCAGCACGGACGCCAAGGACCAGGTACTCAACAGCATGATCTTCAAGCGGGTGGGAAACTTCCTCCAGGACCACACTCTGCAGGTGAGATCATGGATGTTGACAGATCTGCAGCTAAAGGGTGATTGCTTATGATGTCTGATGCTTTTTCTTGCAATAGGTAAAATTTCCAGACTTGCGCGACTCGGACGGCAGCACGTCGGAGGGCCGCAAGAAAAAGGAGAAAAAGGGCAATGGAGCCTACATTATGATTCCCCTGCTGCTCGGCGGCACATTCGTGCCGATCGCCTACGGCGCTTTGGCCATGCTGGCCGGCAAGGCGCTGATTGTGTCCAAGCTGGCTCTGGTGCTCGCCTCCATTATTGGCATCAAGAAGCTGCTCAGTGGCGGCGGCGGTGGCAAGGAGTCTTCGCATGAGGTTGTCGTCAGTGGTGGCGGCCACTCGGGCTGGGGACGTGACTTCGATATGGCCTACAGCGGCTGGAAGCCAGCCAAGGAGCAGCACCAAGCGGGCAGCGCCAAGAGCTTGTAGGTCGCCATCATACGAGCATCACGGCAGCAGGCGAGGCGAGGCGGGGCGAGGCAAGGCAAGGCCTGCATTTGCATTTGGAGAAGAGAGAGTCGAGTCGAGAGTCGAGAGTGGAGTTAACCAAAGAAAAGATTGCCGCACGAACTGTCTGACTAATGTCTAGTTTAATTTGTCTAATCGATTATTAATTTTAACGAACTAAATGTGTGTGTTAGGTTTAAGTAAGCGCTAATTAAATATATATGCCTAGTAAATTCTGCTACACGAAACGCACTGCATCCCCATTGATTTTTGGGCCGCTCCCTGTTCAATTTATGATAACAATTACAGTTTCGATGAAATGGGCTTACGTGCGTGCTAAAAATGGCAGACGACGCTGCTTCGCTTTCTACCATGTACCATGTACATAGGTATATATATAAATATATATTGTGTGGATACATGTTTGCGTTCAATCAGAGTCCAATGCAATATTCATAGATCAAATATGCTACAACACTGGCATGGCCCTTCCTCTGGTATGCGACAATTTCACTTTTGAGCCCCTGCACGAAATATTAATGAGCTGCCCAGAGTGGAGGTACAACAGTAGAACATTGAACCTGGCTAACGACATTGCTGCTGGCTAACCAAGAGTTAGTTGTGGGTGCCACATTTACCTGAAACTACTGACGTCACAAGCACGGGACTTTCATTAATTGAAAATTACTCAAGCGCATTACGGTCCCGGCATGTAAACACGTAAACTTATCCAAAGCTGGAACTGAAGGTGAAGCTGAAGCTGTGGCTGGGACAGGAGACGAAAACGGAGACGCAGCTACCCGGAATTCGAGCTCAGGCCCTGTCAGCCATGCGGAATGAAAGTGAAACTTTGAAAAGGTGTCAATTTTAAAGATGCCACTGAGAAGGGTTGCGACAGTCGCGCGGGTGGGGCAGCGCTGCGCTGCGCTTCTGATTGTTTGCCTTCAATTGGGGCGCCAATGTGAGTGAGGGGAGATGCTTTAAGCAAAAACTTTTACTCCAAAGCGAACATTTCGCATGACTATTTGGGTCAGACGATAGTGCGGATATACTTGAGAATTAATTGAGCATACCCGATTGAAGGCACATTCTAAGAGCGAACAGATCGTTATGGATTTCGGAATTCAAAGCCGGAATTCGGTTAACTTGGCATTAAAGCTGTTACTGTTAATTTATTTGCATCTCTCTTTAAGGCAAACTTTTATATTTTTTTTAGCTTAAATTTAATTTACAGATTATGCCCACAGACACAGACGTAGACACAATCCAATGTCATTGCGCAACTCAATGCCATGCCCATTGTGGAGTTTAAATTGAATAAAACTGTAAACTGTAAGCGCATGAAACTTTACTTTTTTTTCACTTTCATTGCACGCGCACGTGGCTAACATTTTTTTGTTGTTTTTCGTTAAATTTGGGGAAACGAGTCGACCGCATTATGCCCTACACGACTCTCATCTATCAGCAGAGTTCCCATTCAGGAAATTATTGTGGCAGGGCAAGCCAACTCACATCCATCTTTGTCCACGTGCAACGTACAATTTGCATATTCCATCACAGCCCAGCATGAACTGGCTCAGATAATCGCCGGGTCTGTGAAGTGCTGAGTGGCTTTTGCATCAACATTCGAATGTTGATTTATTTTCCTTGGCCACAGCATGCAAATCCGAGGCGATTCGAGTCGAGTCGAGGCGTAGCTTTCTTTTGGGGCACTTGTCTAATGCGTAAATTACATGGCAAACGATGAGGCGAGAAGCGTTAGGCGGCCACAAAAACAGACGAGCATGCGACGTGTGGCCATTTTCGAGTGCTGCAAATTAAAGCGACATAATGCCAATGAAACTCTCGTCTTGCTGTATCTGTATCTGTATATCTGGCTGTGTGTTTGTGCTCGTATCTGCTGATGTTTCTTTCTGCGGCAACTGTGCAACTGTCGACGATTGGATTGGCATACAAAACAACTGCAGATACATTATGCGAGATACTGGCTGGCGTTGAGCTGGAGGCAAAAACAAACACATAAATAAAAAGCAAAATTAAAGTGAAATTTTCTTTCCTCCATTGCCGCCTGCCGCCTACCGTAAACTAGTTAATTTTCTATTTTACTCCAATTTGAGTCGCGGCGGCTGCGGCTGCGGCTCTTGATGCGCTTGCTTTCGACCACTTGGACGCCATCTTAAATGGTGTTGTTGATTAGCCAGCCACCCCCTACCCACCTGCCACCTGCACATGCAACGAAGCTTGCAATGTCCCCCCCTAATAATTTTCAATATGAAATGAAACCTTCTGCCTGGCTTAAGAGTAGGCCTTTAAATCTACCTTAAATGAGTCAAATGAAGCAGCCGGAGAAGGAGCATCTATTGTCACAAAGCAATTACCAGCGGCTGTCCATCTCCCCTCTACTATACGTGTGTGTGTGTGTTTGTGTGTGCTGGTAGGTAAATAGCTAACTGCTGGTTAAGTACGTTGACAAACAGCCAGGCCAGAGCCAACACAAGCTCTGCCCGACGCCAGCGGCCGCGACTGCGACGCCTCGTCTCTGCCGGGGGGCATCTCTCGGCAGCCACTTCGGCTATGGGTATGGGTATGGGTATGGCTTTGCGGCCAGTACAGGTTGCAGCCGATGCGCTTCATCGTCTTCGTATCCGTCGTGCTGATGATTTAAATTCTAAGCTCGGCTACCGTCTCCGTTACTGGCCGAATGAGTGGTGGGGAGGGGAGGGACAGGGACACCCGAGTGACCACTCGCATTGCGTTAAAGCGTCAACATCGTATCCAGCGTCGTTGTCGCTGTCGTTGTCGTCGCTGCTGCTGCTGCTGCTGCTCTGCTGGCCGGGAATAAAACTCGATCCGCGTGCGTCTTCTAGCCACAGTTTACCGGTTGCCTTCTGACCGACAGATCGAACAAGCCAATCGAGCGCAGTGCAGTCATTCAAGTGAACAAAAACCCAACAACAGAGATTCAGGGACGGCACTCACAGGCAGTGCACAGATACAGATACAGATACGAGTAGAAAGGATAACTCCGCCAGTGTCAAGTGCAGTTTGTGAATTGATTCGAAATCAATCAAGCAATCAAGCAATCAAGCAATCAATCATGTTCAAGTTCGTGTGCCTATTCGCGCTGATCGCCTCAACGGCGGCAGCCGCCTCCGAGGCGGACAGTCTGCTGACCAGTGCCCTGAAAATGGTCAAGGACTGCGGTGATCGATCGATGGTATTGTGCATGAAGGTAACGAAATGCCCCAAGCCCAACCCCCCAAAAACAAAAGGATAACACAATCCCTCAAACACTTCCCTTCCCCCTACCACCACACACATAGGAACGGGCCCTGCACTATTTCGACACGGAGAACGGCGATGTGAGGCTGACCGAGGGCATTGCTCTGGTGAAGACAGACGACATACCCGTGGGACGATCACTGAACGACATCCAGCTGCCCGAGGAGGTGGAGTCGCGGGAGGCCGAGGTCGACTCGCTGCTGGTGGAGCGTGTGGCCCGCTTCTTTGGCACCCATACCCTGCAGTTCAAGGTGCCCAAGGACTCCATCCAGGACATGCAGCGCGTTCTCGAGGAGTGTAAGTATCTGTCGCTGACACACACTGTCTGATCACACATAAATCAATCGATCGATCGATCGATTCACTGGCCTATCTGGTTAGCGAACATGTTACCAATTTGGGTTACTAATGCATCGACCAGTTTGCGCAGGCAGATGGCAGTCTCAGTCCCAGTCTCAGTCCCAGTCTGAGTCCCAGTCCCAGTCTTAGAGCAAATCCTGTTTTCACTGTTAAATTCAAGTCACATTGAGGTCATCCTGCTGGCTGATTCCACACGATCTAGCGGTGCATTGACAGTCAGTCCCAGTCCCAGACCCAGATGGAGTCTCAGGCTCATGCTCATGCTCAGGCTCAGACCAAGCCAGGCAACTCGTTGCTGCTGCTACTGCTGCTGCTGCTGCTGCTGCTGTTATTAATTGCTCTCTAGTTAGCCAGTTGGACTTACTTTCTTTTCTACGATCCATGATCCGTGATCCGCTGACTGCTGCAATTTCCGATTTCTAAACGCAGCCAGCCACATAGAAAGCTGCCGATCCTGTTCGCTTATTAATTATCTGTGTGCTCCAGTTGCTAATTAGCGGTCAGCGCAATCTCAAACGACTTTGATTAAGCGAAAGTAAATCATTATGCTAATTTCTGCATCTGCTTCTGCTTCTGTATCTTTTTATCTTTAGCCCGCGGCAAGAAGAAGGAGAAGAAGAAGTACCTGATGCCTCTGCTGTTGCTGTTCAAGCTGAAGATGGCCGCCCTGCTGCCCCTGGCCATTGGCTTCCTGGCACTGATCTCATTCAAGGCTTTGGTCATCGGCAAGATCGCCCTGCTGCTGTCGGGCATCATCGGGCTGAAGAAGCTGCTGGAGTCCAAGAAGGAGAACTACGAGGTGGTGGCGCATCCGCACTACGAGCACGAGCACAGCTACGGACGGTCCCTGCCCGGCGGCGGCGAGGCTCAGAACTTGGCCTACGCGGCGTACAAGCAATAAGCAAATAGCCAAAAAGCCAATCCTGCAGCAACACAAAAAGCAATATTCAGTGCAATACACAGAAGGCGAAAATGGGAAATCAGAGAGAGAGAAACAGAGAGAGAGAGAGATAGCTTGGAGAAAGCTGAACGGAGAATGAAGAACGGAGAATAGAGCTCGATGGCTCGTTTAATTTATTCTATTTATTTAATTTATTTGTATAGCATAGTTCATGCAAAGCTTACACATAAGGCGCCATCATCTGCAACTGTTACACGGGAGAGCGAATTGTTCAAAATAAGTCCAAATACCCCCCATAGGGAATAAGTTCAAAAAATTTCGGGGGCTGAGGAGGCTGAGGAGGATTTCACGAGGAGTTGGTCCGGGGCTCTGTTTCTTGGGGGCCTTTGCGCGGCCTTTGCCTTAATTTTAAAGTACTCACTCAAGTGACTGTAACTTTTGTATTAATACTCAGAGCTTTACTATTTACTACATGACTACTTTAACGCTTTACGCTTAACTTAACTTAACTCAACTCCAAACTAAAACTAAACTAATCTAAACTTAACTACTTAAACTTTGAACTGCTGCTAGTCGCAGGCCACTCGGGAGGTGTCCAGCCAGCCCTCGCCCTTCGTCTCGCTGCCACCTCTTTATCAACCGCAAGAACCACTCCAATGAAAATCAACAAATCAATAAAAGAAATCCTGCATTTATCACGAATCGATGTTTTGTATTTGGAATATTGCGCATACGCAACTTGTGCTCAGCGTGGAGTTTTCGTGCGAAATGCTTTCACTCTTTCACCAACTATGGCAATCGAGGCCAGTGATATCAATTGCATGTGCGACACACAAAATCATGGCCGCGGCCGCGGCCGGGGATGCGGCCGGTGCAGAGCAGAGCAGAGCAGAGCAGAAAGAAACGGCAAATTTCACTTGAGCCACCGAGGCGTAGCCAGGCCACGAAACATTCAGCAACAAACAGAAACACACTCGCAGGCAGTTTCGGATGCACAATCAAAGCGAGAGAAGACGTGCAGCCAGTTAGTAGTTAGTCCCATCCCACATGGGACCAGTCAGCCGGCCGGCTGGCTGAGTTTCTTCCTGCTGCCCCGCACTCTGTGTCGGCGTATTCGCGTATTCAATGTCGCTCCAGAAAGCACACTCGAAAAATCTAATGAAAGTTGCGACCTGCTTTTTGCATTTGCAATGCAACACGTACGCCCATCCACCGCCAATCCCCGAGCTCTGCGCGATTGGGTGTGTGCACAATGTCAATGAGATGGACAAGGGCGATGGACATGGGCAGAGCTTATGGTACGGGGGGGACTTCCTGCACTCCGCCTTGGGTCGGGGGGGACTGGGAGAGCACGCCCCGAGCTGCAATTTATGGCCGTCGGCATTTGGCATATAAATGGCCAAAACAGCCAAAAGTCTGCCCGCTCGCTCGTATATCTTCTCAACTATTTGTGAACAATGTTCGGCTGCCGGCTGCCTGCTGCAGCCCAGCCGCAACTGGCCGTGAATTTCAAGTATTGTCGGTGAAAGTGTTTATTAATACAATTTCTTTTTTGTCTTTGTGTGAATTGCAATTGGAAATTTATTGAGCAGCCGGCACACACTGCTGCTCCGACATCACCCCCATCCTCACCATCATCCTCATCTCACACCATTGCCATTCCCAGCTCAGAGTTGTGTACAATATGTATATAAAACGTCAAACTTTTGCCACATACTTTCGAAATGGCAAAAATTACAAAAGTTTTCGCGTCAACCGCAAACATTAAACCGTAAATCTAATACCGAAAATCCTGCGAATAGCCAAATCAAGCCCCAAAGCCGGAAAGGGGACGGTGCATGAAAAGTTTACGCGCTCAGTTTGTCTGCTGTTTCATTAGTGGGCAAAAAGGTAGAGAGCGCCAGCACCACCTCTCGAAATGGCGTTGAGGTGTCAGACACTTTTGGTGTCTCAAATTTCTCCGCGCCACCCTCAGGGTAGGGGCTTACCCTACCACCCAAGTTATTTGTGGTTGGGCTGCCGTCCAAACTCTACCTCTTGACGTGCTGGCAACACCAAACTTTTTACTCAGCTTTAGCATCGACAGCCCGCAAGTAGGCAAGCCTTTTTTCTGTCAGTCTCTGCGGTGTGCATTACTTTTGATACCCTTCGTTTGTGACTCGACTCTCGACTCTTCACCCACGCAGTTGACAAAGGTGGAAGCATTTCTATTACTTGTTCGTGGAAGCATATATTTTTAAGGAATGTTCTCATTTCAAAGTTTATTTATAAACTTTGTCCTTCAACTTTGATATTAAGGGAATGATAGGAATATATATGTACATATGTATATAGCAGCAGCGCAGCGTAATAACTCCCCGTCTGATACCTTGATATATCTCGGCTAAGCTCTTTCCTCTTTCTTGTTTGCTTGTTTGTTTGTTTATTTGTTTATTGGCTTGGCTTGCCGCAATTTTCAGGTGATTTTCCGTGTAAACGATGGAACATTTCTGGTAATTCTGTGAACGCCTCCCCATTTGTTTAATAGGCGAACATTAGCGGGCATGGTAATTGGGAATTTTCCAAAAGGGTCCCAGCTGTGGCCGTCTACCATTTCATAATTTGTGTGGAATAACTCCATTACATAACGATCGAGATGTGCGAAAAATTTTGGCCACAAGTCGACGCAGCTTTGGGTCGTCGTGTGCACTGACCATGACCATGCCGGCACGGCTCCCATAACACCAACAACAACAACAGCAGCAGCAACAAAACAGAGATGATCAGAAGAAGACGAAGACGCAGAGCCAGGCCAGCCGACCACTTGGCGTTGATGTAAAACAATTTCCGTTATTGGGCCATGTGCAAAAAAAAAAAACAAAATGTGGGTGAACTGAATGGGGAGTAAATTTTGGCCGAAACTGAAAACTGATTATTGTATAACTAGATGAGGTCGGTCCGGAAGATATAAAACCGGGGGGTCAGCCGGCCATCGGGCTCAGTTGAGATTCAAGCACTTGACCAACATGTCGCCACATTACCCGTGCTGTGTTCTGTTGTTTGTCGGCCTGCTGCAGCTCCAGCTTAGAGGCATTGCTGGCAGTGACAATGACTTCTCCCACGTTGGCTCCGCGGAGCTGCAGCAGTTCAAGCAGTGTGTCCGTGGCGCCAGTGGCCAGCGGCCAAGACTGAGCGAGTGCCTGGGCCGTTCAGCCCTCAACTTCATACAGCGTGTAGAGGACAGTGATAATGTGAGTTTTGTGGACGATTTTGTGACGGTGAAGAGTGACTCTGTGGCAGCGGCGGGCAGATCGCTGGCCAATGTGCTGGACACCGATCCGGTTGACTTCCGAGGGATACTCGAGAACGCCGGCGCCGTCATGGGACAGCGCAGTCTCGAGTGGCACATGGACGGCCTCTATCCCGGACTGATGTTCAAGATCGGACCCACCACAGATGCCAACAGTGTGGCTGAGTTTGTTCTGGACGGTGCAGGGGTGCAGGGGGAGCGACAGTTTGGCTACGAAGAGCCGTCCACCGGTAAGGGAATATATTTCAATCTAAACAAACAAAATTCGTGGCTTATCTTTGGTTTCTTCTCTCTCTCTGCAGGTCGTCTGTTGGCCAAGCAATATCTTTTGCCCTTTCTGCTGGGCCTGAAGTTCAATCTGGTGGCTCTGGTGCCCCTGCTATTTGCTGCCATCTGCTTGCTGCTCAAGAAATCTCTGTTCCTAGTCAAGCTGGCGGTATATGTCAGCAGCTTCCTGGGCCTGGGCGGAGTCGTCAGCTCGTTGGGCGGCTTGGGCGGATTGGGTGGCTTGGGTGGCGGTCTTGGCGGCTTCAGCAGCTTTGGGGGTGGCTCCAACTTTGGCTTCCAGGGCCATCGACCTATTGGCCACTTTCCCGGCAAGACCACAGTCTTTGGCCATGGCGACGAGCTCCACCATCAGCAGCACCAGCAGCAGCAGCACTACGATGTGCATGAGACCTCACCATACCGTCGCAGCGAGCGTAAAGTACGCTTCGAGCAGCCCCGCGCCGCAGAGACATCATCTGCTGCCCCCACGCCTCATTCACCCACCGACGATCGCTTCTATGACTTTGAACAGCAGCGCAGGCCGAGCAGCAAGCTTCTGGCGGCCAGTGCAGAGCAAAAGGCAGCCGTCGCGGCGGACACCTTGATGAGAAACTTCCACAGCGCCAGCGTATCCGCAGGAATGCAGGGCTGGCAGGCCGTGGACGTGCGATCGCTGTAGGGAGTACTGAGCCTATGTCTTAGCCCAATTAATATTAGTTAAGCTACAACTAGAGTACGACTGTACAGCTGTGAGTGCTTTCCACAAAAATGAAAGTTTACTTATCCCCAAAAGAGATGTTCTGTTCGGTTTCAGATTTCAGTTTTCGGTTGCGTCACGGTTCAGCACGCCTGCCATCGAGAGGTCGCCTCTGTTTCTGCCGAAAACTTTTCTTATTCGATTCCTATCAAAAGTGCCTCTGCCTGGCGGTGTCGTGCTTTGACAAGCACTTTAATTGGCACTCCACCCCAGAGCCCAGAAGGGGCCGCAGAGCCCTCTATAAATACTGGAACGGAGTAGCATCTTGGGCTATTTGAAGTTCAAGCGGAGTCGCGTTCGCTCAAAGAAGCTCCGCAGCAGAGAATCAAATATGTGGCGTGTGTTCCTGGTGCAGTGCGTCGTCGTGGGCAGCAGCTCCACCGTCCTGGCCAACACGCAAGAGGGAAATGGCGCAGCTTCCCGATGGAGCCCCCACAGTCTGGGCCGAATAATGGCACAGTGTCTGGGCGGTGCGGAGGTGTGGCACTGCCTGGGCTCCGAAGGCGAGCGATTGCTGGAGGCGGCTGCTCGCGACAACAGCTCCTGGCAGATCAGCGACTATCTGAGCATTGAGCCGCCAGCGGAGCCACATGGCACAGCCCGCAGCGATGGTGGAGCGGAGTCTGGACTGGCCGGCAGGCTGCTGCAGTTGGTGCAGGGACGGGCGCTGCGTGTTCAACTTCCCAGGGAGCTGACCATATCGAATGCCATCGATGACTTTGGCACTCAACTGGGCTTTGATCAAGGTACTTATTCGCTCGTAGATGATAAACTCGATAAGATTGTGGGAGGATTTGGATTGGGTAGTTTTGATGGGCTTCAGACCACAGCCGATAAAGATAAGCACAAAAAGAAGAAGAAAAAGTCAAAGAAAAAGAAGAAGAAGAAGGATAAAGATTCAAAGAAGAAGAAGAAGGCTAAGAAAAAGAAGAAGAAAGAGAAAAAATCGAAGAAAAAAAAGAAGAAAGACAAAGACAAGATTAAAAATAAATATAAAAAAAACTGCTCCAACAAAACAGGTCGCAAGAAGAAGGACAAAGATAAGCACATGGCCATGATGGGCGGCATGATCATGATAGCGACCGTGGCCCAAATGTTCCTCGGAAAGGTAATCCTCATCGCCGGCGCCGCCTTCATAATGGCCAAAATAGCCCTCGTCATATCACTGCTGGTGAGTAACGCCCACCAAGGCACAGGCACACCACAGAACAGGTGGCCCAATCACAATTCATTGGCGCTCCGCCTCTATTTGCAGGGCAGTCTAAAAAAGGGATCGAGTGGCCACAGTGGTAGCGCCCCGGAGCATGTGATTGTCACCAGTTCGGGCGCGGGGTCGGGCCACAGCCACGAAAGCGGCTGGCACCGCAGCATGCCCACCCACGACTACAGCTCCAGTCAGCTGGAGCAGATCGAAGAGCCATCCCATGCCCAAGATCAGGGATACCAGGCCTACGAGATGGAAACACTGAAGAGGCGCCAATCCAACCATCAGCCCCGTCCAGTAGCGACGATCCCAACGCGTGGATTTCTCTAGTTTTTATTTTTAATGTATCTTGCTGTAGTAAATGTAATAACTATGATAAAACTAAACTTAAACTGGAGGGCTTTCGGGCGAACGAATGTAAATACAATGTCATGCAGATTGAAGCTAAGCGATAGATTGATCTTTGGTTGAGTATTTGCTCTGGACGGTAGGTAGGATCTTATCGCGACACCTTGGTCAAAGTCGATGCAGCAGCCGGAGAGCCGCCGGCCTGTGGCATCCGGGCCTGGTAGGCTTTGTCCTGCATCATCATCTCGTCGTCGATGCTGCGATGGTAGGAGCCGCCGCCGGAATCATGGCCGCCCGAATCGTACTCGCCCTGATGGCTGGACGAATAGGTGTGGCTCTGCTGGACCTGCGGGTGCTTCACGATCTCGTAGGTGGTCTTCTCGCCGCCGTCGTGGCCGACGAGCTTCTTCAGTCCGATGATGGCGCTGATGATGAGCGCTATCTTGCCCACAATCAGAGCCTTGCCAGCCACAATGGCGATCGAGTGATAGGCCATCTTCAGGATGGCCGTCTTCAGCAGAACGGCGGCGATGAAGGGTCCCAGATACTTCTTGTCGTCGCCCTTCTTCTTGCGCCCCTCGCTTTCGCTGTCGCCGTCCTTGCTGGACAGGAAGTAGCCCAGGAGTGACTGCAGCCAGTCCTGGCTGTTCCGCTCCCCGAAGTGCAGCAGTCGCGGCAAGGTTCACCTGCAGCTGGTGGCTGTGCACGAAGCCAAGGAAGCGCTCCAGCAGCAGGGCGTCCAAACTCTTGCCGGACATGTGCTCCAGATCGCGATTGTTCAGCTGACTCTCGGCAATGCTGGCGCGGCCGGTGCGCGTGTCTTGGGCCGCAGCAGCAGCCGCAGCCGCACTCTCCCGCCTCACCAGGTTAACGCCATCCACAATGCTGAGCTGCTGCACCTTGAGTGCGCGCCCCAGCAGTCGGGCGCCCTGCACTTTGCAGCACCAAAAAATATCCTCGCTATCCGCGCACTGGCCATACACATGGCGCACGGTCCGCAGCAGTCCGCTCTCCCCAGTGGCCGAGGTGGAGGAGGCAGAGGAGTTGGTGGCGTTCAGTTCCAGCGCCCAGCTGGTTCGGTGGGCCTGGAACGTGGCCAGCAGCAGGGCTATAAGCAGACCCAGGCGCGAATCCATTGTGTCCATATGCCTGATCCTTGTGTTCCTTTTTCGCACTATCTCTCGCTCTCTCTCTCTCAATCGTGATGCTGCTGCAAACTCTCTTAGCCAACTGATCTTGTGCGCCAGTTTGTCCATCAAATTTATACACTTCACCTTGCCACAATTAGCCAGGCAGCCGTTGCATCCAGTTTTGCTTTTGCTGCCACTGCCACTGCCACCGCATCGCTGGTGGCTATTTAGAGCGTAATATGCATGATAACTGCTGCCTGCCGCTTTGGTTTAGACTGAAGCAAGGCTTCGCTGCAGATTTAGTGCAATTGCTGGCGGCAAGCAAGCCATCGCCATCGCCATCAAGCAGCCAACGGACCAATTGCTTGGCGCATTGCCGCAATTAGCCTGATCTTGGCAATTATTTTGAATCTTTATATTGCCGAGCAGTGCTCGTGGTGCACCCGGTCTGGCCTAATGATTTTTTTCCACCGCCTTCGACGCCCACTTTCATCGGCAAGCTGGCTGTGAAAAAAAATGGGCGAGAGCTTTGCTCTACTCATCCAAGGCTTTCGGTTGTCTCGGCTTTCGTTCCGTTTCCACACGCAACGATTTTGGCATACATATTTATCAGACACGCGCTGCGCTGCGCTGCATAGAAACCGAAATGAATGCTGAATCGGTGGAAAATTGTAGAATCGCAGCGCAGCGCAGCCCAATCTGTCGCCACTTGCAGGAAAGCCAATGAAAGTGGCTGCCGAGTGCAGCCAGGAATTATCCTGCAGCGATTCGAATCAGTGATTGAAGTGCCAAGAAGAAGAAAGCATGAAGTGGCATGACCATTGAATGGAATTAGTTATGCACAGATTTTGTGCCATTTCAATCAAAAGAACTAACTTCGCAGCCTTAACTTTAGGTTTATCCCACACTTTGCAACCCAACCAGATTATAGGGGATTATAATCCCTTGCTGCAGCTGAAATACTGTTAAGCCACTGGGCCACACCCACACTCCAAGAAAAATATAAACAGGAAATATGAATAGATAGATTAAATCTATGGGGTTTTAAATACAAACATAGTAAAATTAAATTGAATTGAATACACAAAAATGTATACAAAAGTATTTTATTATTTAATTATTAAATATATAACACTCTAAAAAATATATAATATTTTTAAATTGTATAAAATATATTTAAAAACATAGTAAAATTAAATAGAATTGAAAAAACACAATTGTACACAAAAGCATTTTAATATTTAATATTTTATTTAGATATATAACACTCCAAAAAAAAAATATAATATTTTTAAATTGCATAAAATATATTTTATTTATTTAATGGGATATTAACTGGAAATATGGCTAGATCAAACATTCGGGGCTTTAAATAAAAACATATTAGAATTAAATAGAATTCAATAAACACAAATGTATATTTTAATATTTAATATTTTATTTAAACATATAACACTCTACAAAAAAATATAATATTATAAATTGTATGAAATATATTTAATGTAAATATTAAAATAATATCAAATGGATTTCTTTTAAATATGAAAATTAATGGTAAAATGTAAATTAAAACAATATATTTTTACTTTTTCCGCTTTCTGTAAATTGGTATATCTAAGTGTAAGTAAAAAATCGAATCTCAGTGCCTTTTTCTCTGGGTACTTCACACTGCAGCGTTTTACTGCCCCTCCCCCACGGCACCACTGTCGTCGGCAATGGGTAGTTTTCTTGGTTTCTTTGCATTCTGCAAATATTTGCTCTTACCTCTTCCAAAACGAATTTTATGCTTCTGCTTGGCAAACACGTACCTACACTCCCCATGTGTAAATATGTACCTACATACACACACACACAGGTATGTACATATGTAATATGGAATAATAAAATTTAGCCGCTCTTAATTTGGGGCATTGTCTGTGATGGGCTAGCACGTAGTCACACTTTTTAATTAAGTTATTAAATTATTCTTAGCCCAGTTATTGCTAACTCAGTTACACAGGAAAATAAAAGCTGAAGCAGGAAAGCATGAAATAAATTAATAAATAAATAAATGTAGGAAAACCGGTCCAAAAGCTGGATTTGTCTGTCTAAAATAAGGCATACTTTTGGGCTGCTTGGAGAAATGTGAAAGTATTTGCGGCAGCGCATCTGGATTTTCGCTCAGTGTGGCACCCTGCACTGCAGTGCACTGTGGCAACTGGCAACTGGCAACCGAACAACAAACGGAGCAACACCTTCGCTTCGCATCGCATCGCGGCATGCATAATTTATGCCAAACGCTTTTCATTTATGAAATATTAATTACAAAAACCACGCTGACGAACATCTAATGATGGGATTTGCAAGTTTATCTCAGCGCAACATGCCACGGACACTCGGCACGGACACGAAAAGTGTAAATTGCTTTTTCCCCCTGTTTGGCTTATTTTCTGACGGGAAAGTGGCCTGACACAAATGTACACATGCACATACATCAATTTATGATTTGTTTGTTCTACAGCTACAGGACAAACAATGTACCGAATACTGACTGTGGCCAAACACTTGCCGCTGCATAATGGGCCATCGATAATTTATGATAATTCACGTTTGGCTTACACGCAATCCCATCCCGTGCTAATGGCCGAAAACGCCTGGCCGGCCAGTGGCAAGCTACCGATTGGCAGTAATTGGCATTTTGTGTTAGCAGCAAGCAAACAAACAAAACGCTCCGCTTAGCTTAGCTTAGCTCTGACTGCCAGCCAGCCCAGCGATCGATAGAAACAAACAACTGTGGCAACGAACCCTCTGCCACGATCGGCACGAAACTTTTACCCGACTCCTCTGGCGATTTATTTGGCCTTTGTTTTACCGTTTCACCCACCCGGCTCGTCTCATCTCGTCTCGGCTCGGCTCAATGGGGCAGAATACACAATTCTATGTGTTGCAGGCTGGGAAACTTTTTTTGTTTCGATTCGATTCAATGCTGCTGCGCACCGACAAAAACAATTGCATAAAAGAAAAGCTTCGGTGTGTGTTGTGCCTCTGTTTCGGATTCAGTTTTTCTCGCCGGCAAAAATTTTTCACTTTCACTTTGTGTTGACATCTGATTCGCCGTCGCCGTCGCCCCCGCCAAAGCTGGCAATCTTCAGACGATGTGGGCGCCCGCGCACAGGTTGAGATTGCCCCAGGCAGAGGCAGAGCCACAGTCACAGCCACAGCCAGAGTTGGAGTCCCACCCCCACCGCACTCTCTTCAATCAAATTAAGTGCTGGAGGCCAATTACGTTTCACTCTGACCCCAGACACAACAACTGATGAACTGCACCGCAGCGTGGAAAGCCGGACTCCGTGACTATCGGATCCGATCAGATCCGACCGGCCGACGTCCAGCTGTCTTGATGAATTTATTATACCTTTTGCCAGCACAGCACACCGACTTGTCCAAGCTTAAACGCAAAGTATCTATCCAAAATTATACATTTGTTTGTTTGCTTTTTTCCCTGCACAATAAAAACCATTTTCACTTGCCCTCAGCAGGAGAACTCCTCAGCCACGTCAATTCAATTTTATGCTTAATATTTCGTTTAGTCCTATGGCCCAAAAGCCAGATAGCACATTATAAATCTGTTGGGCCTTGCGTTTGCCCAACTGGAGCGAAATAGAAAGAAAAAATATATATGTATAGCCTAAATTTCGTTAAAAAAATTTCAATTTAAATTTGCCTCCGGCAACCGTCATGGAACTTGCGCCGAGCCGCATTCCACTCGTACTTTTATATTTTTATGCTGATTTAACTAGCTGCGAAATGCTGCTTCGTGTTTGTTTGTGGCACCATGTCCCCAGCGGGGGCATGTCCTTGTTAGAGCATATTTTGTTGTTAGCCATGTTTAAAAATATAACTCTCGCGCATAATTCAATTCGGCGCATAACACTCAATTATGGCCATGCCAGCAGAACACTCACTCGGGCATGGGTGGGGAATGGCTGCCAGAGTCTGTCGAACATTTTTGCGGTGAAATTTTTGGGAACTGGCAGGGAGGGGAGACCTTGGTCTCTCATACGAGTATGAATGGAAATGCAAAGTTCACAGTCATGTTAAATGCCAATCAAGATGGTTAGGGGGGGGGCCAAGCCAAGCCAAGTCATCGACGTGGCTGCGACTGGCGCTGGAAAAGCTGGAAAAGTCGGCATCTGCTCATCAATCAACGTGGCATGCCACAGCGGCAACAATAACAGCTTTGACATTGCCATTGAAGAAAGCGACGTGAAGCCAAGAGATTTCAACAGGCATCCCCAAAAACAGCAGCATCACATTAAACATTTTCGTTGGCCACATTTTAAGTGAATTTAATGCCCTGGCATTGTCACTCCAGGCCACAGGCAAAGATTCTCCACTCCACTCCACATCAGTCTGTGTGCGTCCATGTCCATGTCCATGGCCATGTCCATGTCCATGTCCACATCCATGTCAGGCTGTCGGGCAAAACAAAATTTCATTTCATTGTTCACATTATAATAATTTGGTCGCTTTTTCCAGTCCGTCGCAATTGTTGCGTTGCAGACATCTGGTGCCCGGGGCGGATACTTAATCCTCGGAACAAATCTCACTTGAAGAATTTGCGCAAATAAATCACAATTTGAATATTATTTTGGACTGAACAAGTGCGTTTTCGGGGTCGGCCTTCGGTGGTTGACAAATGACCCAGACTTAACCCCTTGCCATCTACCGTGCCGTACCTTTTGTCTCAAAAATTATTTGTCTCCGGTTCAATGCCCTTGAAGGCGGCCCGACGACACCGACGACGACTGGCCATGGATGATAAATTGAACGCAAGGCGAACGTGACAACGTGGCCGAAAAAAGTGAAAGCATCGGAAGCGGAGAGAAAATACTAGCCCAGGAATGGACCAGGGACCAGGGACCAGCCACAAACTACCAGCCACCAGCCAGTTTTGGCAACCTTTACCATGGCCGCCTGGGGACCGGCAACAGGGGCAGCGGCAGCCAGCACTAGAGTAGAGTTCACTGCACGGCCTGGTGCATGTAAACATGCCAAGCGGAATCAAGATATATTCGGCAGGTAGTAGGGGCAGATGCTGTTGTCTGTCTTGCCATGAGATGCCCGAAATGGCAACCACCCAACCACATTCGCTGAAACTTTCATGGCAGCGCAGCGAAGGGCGTAGAGTTCCAGTGGCGCACCCGACTCTTTCAATTCGATTGTCATTTGCAGGGATTTGATGTCCCCAATTAGACACAAACCCATTGGGGTTGAGTGGCCGGCCATTACGCACTTTCCCGTTGTAAGCTGCAACACATGAGAATTTAATTGTCAGGCTCGGCACACGGCACATTAATGTGGCGTGTCATTGGTCAGCGGTCGGTCAGTTTTCTGCAATTGAAGACGCGGTCTTGTGGCGGTCAACATCTGCAACATCTCTGCCACTCTCTATTGGCCGGGGAGAGAGGCGCCAAAGAAAGCGAAAAGCAACGCATAATAAACGCTAACGGTAATAGTAATGAGAAAATGCTTATCTACCATCCAGTGAACTCAGCATATGGGCTCAGACATAGCTGTATCGTATCTATCCATCTATCATCTTTCTCTGGCCAAAGACAGTTGGCCGAACTGTCTCTGGCAGTGATGGATAACGAAGCCCTTTGCATGAGACATAGACACTTTAGTACATTAAAACTGCAAGTGAAAAGATGGGTGTTAACCCATTGATTGGTCTGACATACCGCCAATTGGGAGTAGCACTCCAAGCCATTAGCTTTGCTGACACGCGACAGCTGTAAAAAAAAAACAAAACAAAAACGCAAGTGCATTTTTCCTCTTAGCTCCCAAAGCAGGTCTAACGCTTAAATAAATTGTTAGCAAATTAAATGAAAATCAACAACAACAAACAACAAAATATTGGCTCGTGACTGTCGTGCCGGAGCGGAGCGAAGAGGATGGGATGTCCAGGCTGAATGGCCAGCTGGACCAGTGTTTGGATGGATGCTTGACGCGCATACGGGGACTGCGGAAAGCTGTCGGCTTATCGCGCCCGTCAGCACTGATCCCATATAAAAGTTAATTAGCGTGAGATTTGTGCGAGCGGCAAGCGGTAAACTTTGATTAGCGTCAATGTAGCGTCAAGACAAGCGATAAAAGCCAGCAACAAAAACAACAGCAACAACTACGGCTCTGAAAAGTATATAAAAACCGCACACACACATACAACACTCACAGGTATTTTCTTTTCGCTTTCTTTTGTTTGGGAAAATTGCAATTTTTATTGCACAAAGTTGGGCTGTGAACAAACACAGCCCCCAGACCCCCCGGCGGCATGGAATTGAAATAGAAAGTTAGTTGCGGGCTCAGAGGCGAGTCGGTGTAGGGTCGGGTCAGTTCGGGTTCTAGCCGAAAAAACGAAAGTTAATTGGCCCCGCACATCGCACTTCGCACTGCCAGCATTTAACCCGCCAAAGGTTTTCGCACTTCGCTACGCTCAAGAATTTAGAACAATCTCGTGTTGTTGTTGTTGTTGTTGCTGTTGTTTTTGTTTTAGTTCCTCTGGTTAGCTGTTGGTTTTTTACTTTCTCTGGCTGTAAGCTGAAAAATTTCACACACACTTAAGCCAAGCCGCAACAACTTCCAGCCGAACCAACTGCAGCTGTGCTGTGGTTGCAGCCGCTGCCATAGTTGTTGTTGTTTAATAAAGTGCAATTCTTCTTTTAATTTTGTGAAGCCTAATCGTTGTGGCCGTCTAGCTTTAAGAGGGTATAGTAGATCCTAGCAGACGTTGGAGTCTTCTCAGATGTGACTCAAGCTTTGAAGAATTTATTTCTTTAACTGGCGGAAAAGTTGGCACAGCCAAATGGTAGCAGGTTCACATGTACTAAATATTACAGCCAAATATTATTTAAATACGTTTTACATAGCTATCACAGGAACAATCAATCTGAAAGCGTATGCAAAGCTTCGGCTTCGAAGCTGTCCATTTTCTTATGTTTTTATTTTGTTTCTCTCGACCGCAAAGTGGCACGGAAAAACTTTGTGAAAAATCTTTCGGCCAAGAGAAAAGTGCAAGGCGTGGCAAATGACGACAGGGACAGACAGAGACAGTGACAGTGACAGCGCCTTGGCCGCGGGACTGAGGAAGCAGACAATGGAGCTCTTAAGGCTGATGTTGCTGTTGTTGCTGCTGCTGTTGTTGCTGCTGTTGTTGCTGTCGCATGGCCTTGCCCGTGGAAACCGCAGTGGCACGGCACGCAGAGGAAGAAGACAATTGAAATTGTTTCACATGCGCTTAAGCAGCTCAAGAGATATGGCTGGTTGATATGGATATGGGTATGAATATATGTACGTGTGTGTCATGTGCACATACTGCAGCAGCGCTGTCAGACAGACCAGACCCATGGGGGCACGGATGCGGATGTTTTTTGGGTGGAGTCGGTGTTGCCGTTGTGCAGCTGCTGCACCCGCATATTAAGAAGGAAAATCTTGCATTTGGGTCCATTGTGTGCAAGGGTAGCCGTCGGGGGCGCCGTGACGGACATTTTGACAGCTCGACTTAGAAACGCAACACAAACAATGAGGCACTCTAGACGAATAGTGGAGAGAGTGGAATGGCAAGAGGTGGAGCGAAGAAAAGAATTTTATTCCAAAATGTCGAGTAAAATATAATTGATGGCTTCAAATGTTCACCGGCGATGATGGACACAGCATTTTATTTGTCCAATTATATTCAAAATATTTTATATTTTATATTGCACCCAAATTGGGGTCTTGGGAACTTAAATTTTACTGAAAAAACAGAACAAAATAAAATATTCCCCACCTAATCGGATAGCTACATAAGTACATACAAATTATAATCCCTTTTAATGAACTTATTTTTTCGGTGCTCAAAAGGAGCTTTTTTCACTCCCACCCCCCCACTTTCTGGTTGAGTGCCTCCTGTCAGAGTCCCAGAAATGTTTCTTGTGGGCTTGTGGCATTCATAATGCCTCCCCAGCTGAGGAGCGCGGCTGCGGCCAGTGAACCCCGCAACATTTTAGTTCTTTATTGCTCATCAGGCGATACTTAAACGGATACAAAGCTGCAAGTAAATACTCGTAAATACTTCTTGCCACCTCAACGAAACCGAACCCAAGTGCTTTATGCTTTATTTAGGTACATGCCCCGTGCCACTGACCGTGCCCGGGGTCGACGCTGTCCCCGCTGGGCAGTGAAAGTGGCGTGAAAAAGGCGGCAATCGAAGATATCTAAATAAGTAGCCGAGAAAGCAGCAGGCAGCAGTGAAAAAGATACTTTGCCAAAGTGCCGAGATTTAAAGTGTGATGCTGTGGCATGCCACAGGCAGGGCAGCCATCCAGTAGCCGCCTCGCCCATTAGTCGCAAATCTATGCTGCCGGCTGGGCATTAATTTTCCTGTTTATTAGTTGGAAAATTGGCCCTGAGCCCGGGGCATGGCAGCGGGCTCATATCCCTTTTTTAGGTGGCCTGCCAAAACGTGCCACATAAACTGATCCACTGGCAGGTTTTGGACAAGTAAAAGCTTCATTCAGAATTAAGCAAAATGCATTTTCCACGCTTTTCTTTTTCTGTTGAACTTTTTGGTGAAACGTTTTGTTTTTGCAGCAGCAGCAGCAGCCCAGCGATAAACCACAGCTTTCTTTCCGCTTGCAGTGAGAGCCATGTGTGTAAATGCCGCACGTTCTAAATATCTGATAGATGATAGTCCCAGGTACTAGATACAAGGCCAGATACTATTGCCATCTCATGCAGCAGCAGCAGCGGCAACATCGGCAGCATCGGCAATTTCCCTACTCGTACACTGCAAATGACGGCAAGTCATTTGCCTGGCCCCTGACCCTCTGCCCTGGCTCCATTGCATATCATCGTCACGGGGCCTAGATAGTATTGGCCACCCGTAGCGGAGGGCCATTAACACCCTCTCTGCCCGGGGCATTTGCATAATAAAAAAAGGAAATGGCCATTTGCAAATGTGTAGTAGCTGACAATGACTTTCTTTATGGCCAAAATCGAATGGCGAAAATTGCTGAATGCCAAATTGAAATTAAAGTGTCAACGGCAACGGCAATGCCAACGGCAGCAGCAGCGGCGGGATCAGCAATGGCAGTGCCTGATGGCCAAAACTCAACAACAACAAAAAAGTGAACTCCAACCAAAAACCACTAATGCAACTAATATATTTGGCCATAAACATCGAAAGCGATGCGATGGCGGGCTGGCTGGAAAAACTCGTCGAAACTCGTTGGAAATGCTGTTGGACTTCGCCTTCGCATTCGTCTTTCTTGTTTCCAGTCTGCCTGGCTATTGGGCTCTGGTTCATTGAAGAGACTGCGGCAATGATCATTAAGCCAGCGAACCCATATTCCCAGCAGTGGAAATTGGTAGCCAAGCACGAGCTGCAGCTCAGCCACGAAGAGCGGCCACGAAGCCGGCAACGAGTACGAAGAAGAAAATCCAAACTGTGATTAAGTCGGCGGCACAGTGCGACGCTTTGGAGCGGCTGTAGCTGCGACTGGCACTGGCACTGGGGCTGGGGCGAAAGAAAGAAAGGTCTATAAAAGAATAAAGCGCGCCAAGGCTGGGCATCAGTTTGATTTGAACTAGCAGCCAGTGCAAGACCAGACTTGAGAGCTCCTGGCCAACAGCTACCAGCAGAGCTGCAGCTTCCAGTGACTGACTCCTCCGACTATCAAGCCCCCGAGCTAGCTCCAAGGATTAACCAAGCAGCTGTCTGTCGCGTCGTGTGCCGCGTGTCGTGTTGGTAGTGAAGTGTGCGAGACGAGAAGAGAAGTGAAGTGAACAGAATGACATTCAAGCAACGGCATCTGCATCCGCTGAGCCTGCTCACCCTCTGCCTGTGCCTGTGCCTCGCCAGCAGATGCGAGGCGGGCACCGAGCAGATAAGCAATTTGTCAGCCGCCAGCGGTGGCAGTGGCGCCACACAGAGTGCCGGGGCACGCACCTTGCTGCGCGTTTACGATGAGTGCACCCGTGCCGAGGCCGGATTCGTGCCATGCCTCAAGAAGAAGGCCATCTCCTTCATTGATCGCCTTGCCCCCATCGATGCCATAAACGTGGCCGACGGCATCAAGCTGGTGCGCCTGGAGTCGGCGGCCCCACATCCCGCCGCCGCCGCCGCCGCTGCCACCAGTGAGAACGAGCTGCTGGAATCCTCGCTGCCACGTTCGGGCAGTGAACGCGACGCCAAGCTGACGAACATGCTCACCGAGCGCCTCAGCTACTTCTTCAATGGCCATTCGCTGCAGGTCAGCTTCCCCAAGCTGACATCCGATGAGATTGGACGTGGTCTCGAGGAAGGTAAGACGAAGGCGGCACAGCCCCATCCGCATGGGCATCACTTTCAGTGGGCGGTCTAATTACTGTTACCGCTAATACCCCAGTATGCATTGCGCGTAACAGTGACATAATTTGACTCTGGCTCTGACTCTGCCTGTGGCTGTGGACTGTAACACTGGCGCTGGCGCTCGCTCTGGCTTCAGTAATTGCTGGCTCCCCGGGAGGCGGTTATTAGAGCCGAGCGCCCCATGATAATGATTTTAAAGTATATCTTTGCCAATGACATTGGCAACTGCATCGTCTGCAACCGCTGAATGGCCCACTTCCTTGCTTATCAAGCCTAGCCTGTACATTGGCCTGCCATTGTATTGTATTGTATGTTAAGAGGGTGAGTTGCTGCTGGGAAAATGCGCAATTGTTTCTATTTTCCCTCTTTTATAACGCACACACGAGAAAACCCGTTCGGCAACTGAGGAATGACCCAGAAAACCTAAGCAACGACATCGGGCCAGACAGACAGACAGACAGAGTAGCAGTACCGACAGCGATGACAAAAATGTCAGGCCAGAATTTCGTGTTGTCCAAAAAAAAAAAGCGACATAAAATAAACATGACTTGCGAGGAAAGTTTGGCAGAACATAACGAATACTCAATGCTCTTGTAAGCTACCATCAGATACAGATATTGCCTTGGCTACCCCACAAATGTTACAGATTTTTCCATTTAATTATTTCTCTACTTTCTTTGTGCTATACCAAAACTGAAGCAACATTAGCTATGCCATGCCCTTCTAGGGTGGCAGGGTAGGGAAAACGATGAGCAAAAACTAAGCCACGCTTGGATGTCATGACCATGTCAAATGGAATGAAAGTGGCCAACCCGACCACGTTTCTCTGCGGGCCATGTAAAACACGACTCCTCGACCAGGCCAAATCTTTATTTTCCATTGCCATTGGCATGGCGGCATTTCCATTTTTATTTTTATTTAAAGCTGCCAGTTCAGCGGTTTGGCTCTTGAATCAATTACAAATTTGACACGAGCACTTAGAGCTGGTTGCTGCTTGCTGCTTGCTGCATGCAGCATGTTGCATCCACATCAAGATTTATCCATTGCAATGAAAAGTGAACTTACTTTCACGCCACATGCATTTTTCTCTTACTTTCAAATCATTGATCAATATCTTTTAATCGATACGCGGCCGACTGCCAGTTGGCCAACACTTTCCCAAATGGCAAGACCATTTTTGGCCAACCTGCCGAGAGCTGGTTATGACAGCGGCAGCGCCACATCCAGCTCATCCATTTGTTGGGCCACATTAGCACGGACACTTTCGGCCGTCTCATTGCCCCCCCTCCAAATGCAATGCAATTTTCCCCCTACATGCAGGTGAAATCGGACGGAGTGTCCCTAATGACTGCAGCAAAAAATGAAAGCCACACACGCTGCCGCAGTGCCGCAGTGCCACAGCTACCCCAAACTCCAGCAAGTAGCTGGGAAAATATTCTCACACAGCCTTTGGTAATTGAGCTGCTGCTGGCACTTTCACCATCTTGGGAGTTTCTGCCGCAGTAGGAGTAGGAGTCGGAGTCAGAGTAGGAGTAGGAGTCAGAGTCGAGGCTGTACCGCAGACGTAGTCGGAGATCTGAGGCCGTAGTAGGAAAAGGAAAATTATTAAAGACCAAATACGTTTCTTCTCTCTCTCTCTTCGCAGGTCGCGGCAAAATGAAGAAAATGATGGGCATGATGATGATGGGCATGGCTATGAAAATGATGGGCATGATCCCCATTGCCATGGGCGCCCTATACATACTGGCTGGCAAGGCGCTGATCGTCTCGAAGATTGCCCTGCTGCTGGCGGGTATCATTGGCCTCAAGAAGCTCATGTCGGGCAAATCGTCGGGCGGCGGCAGCTCCGGCTGGTCATCGGGTGGCGGCGGAGGCGGCGGGGGCGGTGGCTGGTCATCGGGCGGCGGTGGAGGTGGAGGCGGAGGCGGTGGCTGGGACAGGCGCTCCCTAAACGAGGCCCAGGAAATGGCGTACCGTGCCCACAAAGAGAAATTGGCGCATCCACAGCTATACCATCAGCAGCAGCAGCAGCAGCAGCAGCAGCTGCAGCCGCTGCATCCGAAATCGGCGGCGGCTGCACAGGTGACCAAGTCATAGGACGACGGTCATGTGAACACAATCTAGGGGGCTTCTAGGGAATAGCTGCATTTATCTTGTGGATAAATTACAAGCAGACGGGCGCCAAGGCACACGGATTGTAATTACGCGTAGATACTACATATATACATACACACATAATCGTAATCGTAATCGTATATATATATATAAATAACTCTCTTTTTGCACTTGCACTCGGGCAGACAAGAAGACAAGAAGACATTGATGATGCGCTTGCAACGGTTAACTCTCCGCCCAGTGGCACCTATGGATACAGCGCCTGAAATGTATCTAGAACGTGCGTTCCCACTGTGGCCGCATGCAGTTCATTCTAATGATTAGTATTCGCTTTAAATCGATTATGTTTTGTTGGTAATGCCACTATATGTAGTGCACTCTTCTCTGCTCTCTACTCTGCTCTGCTCTGTTCCGCTCTGATCTGATCTGCTCTGCCACCGTTTTCCCCTTCTCAGCATTTGAATTTACTGTTAACCATCTGCCCAGAGCTCTGAACTCTGCCTCTGCCTCTGTACTATGCACTCTTTCTGTGGCTCTCTCTCTCTCTCTCTATATATATTTCTCACTGCTAACTGCACTTTTCAATTACTTCTCGTACTTCCGCCTCTGCGCAGTCAACTCTACTTCCAGCTACATACCGTACATCTCCATCATCTCATTCTGCCAGCGCGCACACACACATTAATCTTAGCTTGTCTCTAGCTGTATGTCGTGTCTAAGTGTAATAATTTATTTATTTAACTTATTTATTTCGTAGCGCATAAGTGTAAATCGCATGTAAGCAGCAAAGTTTGTAAGAAACATAAAAGTTGAAAAAAATATATAAACACACACAATTAGTAAATGATTTTCATTCAAAATTATGCCATGGCCCGCACACTTAAAGGTTGGCTCTGCTTAAAGGTAAAGTGCCAGTCCTGTCTACTTCCGGCATACTACTTTCGTTGTTCCGTTGCTCTAGTTTGCCCTATTAAACATGTACATACACATAACCGACATCCATAAACTCCACTCCACAAAGTGCGAGTGTCCCTGGGTATTTGTCCCAATTTTGTTAGCCTTATGGCCCACGTTTATGGCTCTCTTCTTGCTGTCTGCCAGAGATTTCCCAGATACAAGACGGACCAAAGTTCAACTGTGTAAACATTTGCACGACATGAAGACCCAAGCCCAAGTCAAGGAGAAAACTTTGCCTCAGCTTTCAGCGGCAACAAGAAGTAAGTACAAGTATTCTCCCCCTGGACTTAATCACAATTGGGCAAATGTCTGAGCACAACCTACATATTGGAGAGCTGATTGCAAGGCAACGGAGCCAGCATTGGATTGAGCCAAATGAATCATCATCCAATTAGTCGAATCCAGGCTTGCTGCTCCTGTGGCTCCTGGCGTCATATGTTGAGCAAAATTTAGTTATTTTAGCGTAGATTAAAAATAAACCTGATGAGAAGACAAACTCCTTGAATACACATGCGAGTATTTGTCTTCAGGCATGGCCTTCGACTGAAAGAAAGCACAAATAAAATTTCTATAAATTCCAGGATAAAAAAGCACACACTAAACATATAATAAAATCAACCTTAATTCCATATGCGGCCTTCAATTTGACTTGTATTTGCATTATATATAAAAAGTGGTGCTTTAATTGCAGTTTGAATTTATTGTCGCCATTAATGGAAGGTAGGGGAAACCTGAATTTCAGTGGATATTCTTCTCATCATCTCAAGCAGTTTAGACCCTCACTAAAGCACACAATTAACAGTAATTAATTAATGTAAATCTGATTAGAATGTTACAAGAAGGGCCCTCACAAATTAATGACTAAATAATATCCACTAAAATTGACAAGGTCAAAGAAAAGTAGACGCATTTGTTTAAATTATTTTTGTCGTATTTATTGACTTTTGCTTTTATTGGTCAGACGTCGCGCAGTCTAAAGATCCAATCGGAAACTAGTTTCGCTAATTTGGGGATGAATTCGAATAAACAGACGCTTCATGGAAGATTTCATGCAGGTACAGGTAAACGGGTTTATATCTGGACTATAGCTAAATGGAACGGAACGCAACTCGGAGAATTGGCAAACGAAAGCAGTGGGTGCTCACTTCTTCTTCCACCATCCGGACTGACTGCCGTGCCCGCCGCCGTAGCTACCGCCGTAACTACCGCCGTAGCTACCACCATATCCTCCCCCATATCCTCCACCATATCCTCCACCACCAGCGCTATGAGTGGTTGTGATGACCTTGTAGACATCCACGCGAGAGCCGCCATGACCGCCTCCATAGCCGCCTCCATAGCCGCCGCCATAGCCGCCTCCATAGCTTCCGCCAGAGCTATAGCCACCGCCATAGCCTCCTCCGGAGCTATAGCCACCACCGCCATAGCCTCCGCCGGAGCTATAGCCACCGCCGCCATAGCCTCCTCCGTGGCCGCCATCAATGGTGTTGATCACTTTGACTATCTGGACATTACCGCCGCCGCCACCACCACCGTATCCTCCCCCAGATCCACCGCCGTATCCACCGCCATAGCCACCGCCACTGCCTCCGCCTCCCTTCAGCAGTTCCAGCAGTCCTGCGTTTGTGGTTGCCAGAGTGGCGGCTAGGGCCAAGACACATACAAAGAACTGTGCAGGACGAAACGTATTTTGGTTAGTTTTTGGGTATATCCTCTGGGAGCGCCGCCTCCTTCCGGTCATCGCTCACTCACTTTCATTGTAGACAACGAACGAACGCACACAAAGCGCAAGTAGAACTAATGCCAAATGCCAAACGCTTTTCGGTTTAATAGTCGTTCAAAGCCGCTCGACCAACCAGCAACCACAATAAAGGTGTTTCGGTGAGCGATTAAATGTCGCACACGCTCCGCCGACAAAGCCAAGGCCTTTGAGTCACTCAAGTGGCTCTTGGTAATGGAGACAGAACCACTGCAGCGCCCTGGAGGTGTCTGCTTGGCCCGGTCCCGGGTGCTGTCCGAAAATTTAATTTATGATTTCCATTATGTCGGGGCGTAGGAAGAGTTCTGATTTCTGAACTAGTTTTATACCGCACAGAGCCAATCCCCGATGCGCAGGCAATGAGACAGCATAATTTGGTAGTGGAGAAGCAACTAAAAGTCGCTCCACAGGGCAAAAAAAAAAAACAAAAACTGCAAGGCTAGAGAGCCAGACTGGAGAGCGCGGCTAGTCCGAGTTGTTAGCTCATCAAATCAGCAGCCCAGCAACAAAAGCAGCCAGCAGCATGCAAATGTTAGGTAATAAAAAATTAAATGATTAAATTGACTTAAGCTAGCTTGATTCATGCATGCTGTGTGCTGGACCAATCTTTGTGATCTTTGAATTGGCAACACACAAAGCCAACTGAACTACGGACTTAAGTGCATGTTTGAGCTTCTATTATGATGACTCTTCTTTAGACACAATCAATCATATCAAGCTGTTAATGGCCATGGAGCAAAAGCAATTTCAATTGGGCAGAGCTGCCGCTCGAGTGTGCCATTATCAATGCCCTCGAACAGAATTCCATTATCGTGGTAAGCTACCTCCATCCATCGTCTTCTAATAGAAAAACAAAGCCAAAAGAAATACGAACAAGCTATGCTTTCAGCATCCATAAGTCTTCTTGGGCTGAACTGCACTTCTAGCGAATCCAATGCGCCTACGCGTGTCCCTGCCTCAATACAATCCAAGACATGCACTCGGAAAAAAATGGCATAGTAAAAAGAAACACATGCATCCATATTTAAATTAAATATTCGGTTTTTAGCTGGAAATATAAGCACCTAACGCATTGGTATGTGTGAAATCTCTCGAGACATTCCTCAGTAAGCAAACACAATATTCCGGGTCATAAATACTGCACATACCAATTCATTGTTGTTCATTTTCATGCCTAAGTGTAGGCTACACTGAACGTTGAATGCTCATGGAAATGCTGAAAAGTTTTCTACGTTTTTTTAGTGGTTTATAAAGCAGCAACATGGCGCCCAAGAGTATGTTTTGGACAGACAGATGCGAGCATGCAAAGTGCAACAGACACACATATTTTTGCCAGGCCTTTTGTACGGTTGTTGCTTCCGCACGTGTCCGCACCTCCCCCCACTAGGAGTCTGAGCTGTCGTGACCCGTCACCCATTAAGAGAGATTAAACGCACGCTGGGCACTTGATGTGCGTACCCAACGGAGTGAGATGTTGCACACACACACACACACACACACACACACACACACAAGTGGTGGCACCAACAGTTTAAGTGGTCCGTTCCAGCAGGTGCTGCTGGCCCCAGGGAACAGGTGGTACTGCTGGTTCAAGAGGCCAATTAGCACGCACGGAGGCAAAATTACACGAATTTACCCATTGGGCACACTTTCCCAGGGCTGAGCGATGGGATGCGGCCTTCGGGTGGACATCTGAACTTGTATCTGTAGATAGATATAGAATGCCATCAGGTGCAAGGCTGTCAGTTGGCCTCGTGCCGTTGAACGTGCAACAGGGCGACAGGGCAACTGGGCAACAGGGCAGCGATGCAGAAAAGTGAAACTATTAAGCCCAGTCAGAGTACCATTATCAGTAAAGAAGTGAGGCATTGTTTTCGTAATTAGGCAACGCTTCAATAGACAAAGCCAAGCAGCACGTGTAGCAGCACACTCCATGAAGCATCGAACGGTGAACTTGCAACTGGCCAGGCCCGCACCCGCGCTCCAGCCCCCTGTACTCGATTGGCAAGTGGCAAGTTCTCTAAATTTAATCAAGTTACGCCTGACAGAGTACGTGTGAGAGTTAGTTAGTGTGTGGTAAAAGCCCTGCTTGGATCAACTGGATGATCAACTGGCCGCTTGACCACAAGCCAAAAGCCACCGTCGCGACAGAGTGGCAGTCACAGCCACTTTTGGGGGAAAGGCCGTAAAATCACTCAACTAAAACGTCCATAAAATGTCGAATGGCTTGTAGAATTTGGTCTGCAAAAAGATTTGGAAAAGCGGAGACCCTCAGTTCGATTCTAAGCGGCGTGCGGAGTGCGTGTTGAGTGCTGCGTCGACACCGAAAAGAGAGACAGCAGGACCCAAAAGACAAAAAAAACACACCGAAATGTGGCATCGTGTGGCAGTGCTTGTGCTTGGCATTTATTTGCTCGTAACAATGAAGGCGTCGAGAGGCAGCGCTAGTGCCAGCGCCAGCAACAACAACAATCGCTTTAATGGCGGCACTTCCGGCATCCTTGCGGCAGGCAAGGGGCAACTACAATTGGAGCTGAATGCGTGGCAGCCATTCACACAGCACAACAATTGGCTTATCCTGCAGGCAACGGCACCCAGCTCAGTGCAGCCGGAAAGCGAGAGTTCCCCCAGATTGTTGCCACAGCAACAGCAGCAGCAACAGCAGGAGCAACAGCAGCAACAGCAGCAGCACCAACGACTTCCTGTCAATTACTACGCCTACGCCAATCATCGGTACAATGAGAGTGCGAGGGGGAGCATTTCACCTTCGGCGGGCGGAAATTACAAACAGGTTCGGGCACAGGCAGCGCCAGCGACAACTCTAAGCGATCCTGCCAGCTATGTCCTGGCCATAAGCCAATCCATGCGCCGCGGCGAAGTCCGACGTCAGCTGCCAGTTACGGAGGAGGAAGCCGAGCAGGATGTGCGCCATGCGGCAGCCTCAACTTTAACTAACTCTGCCCACATTGCCAATAACGATGATGTGAAAGATGCCGATGCCGATAGCAGTGGCATTAAAGACACTGAGAAGACAGCTGCTCTGGGCATCAATGCCTACTTGGTGCCCTTCCAGAGAGCTCTGGTGAAAGTGCGTAACTTTTGCGACTCTGTGGGCGCTCTTCTCAGCGACGTACTGGACGAGGAGGAGGAGGCGAATGGGGAGAATGAGCAGCTGCAGCTGCTCCTAGCAGGTGGGTGATTTTCCAATGAATTTTCCTATCTATTAAGCGTGCTTAAACACCTCAGGGATGCGGTCTGGCACTGACCGGCGCTTAATTAACTAACTAACTTAACCAATGCTTCTGCTTCTGTTCCTTAATTTGCAGATGGGACAAGTTCAAATAAATTGGCCAACACCCCACCAGTAACATCAACAGCCAAAATATTCACTTCAAAAGAGGCGAATGGAGCTACAGTCCAAGGCCGTTACAATCATCGTCTGGCATTGGACGGCGCAGAGGGCCGCAAGCTGAAAAAGTTGAAAAAGAAAATCCAAAAGCTGCTGCTGCCTCTGCTGATTGCCTACAAACTGAAGTTCCTCACCCTCATACCCGTTCTCATTGGCGGCCTCACGCTACTCGTCGGCACCACGGGCCTGGCCGGCTTCTTCTTTGCTCTCTTTACGGCCGTAATGAGCCTGAAGACCACAGGTGGTGGTGGTGGCCATGGCAGCAAAGCAATCGTCTTGAAGAAAATCTGATGTGATGATGGCACCGTTTTGTACGAATAAAGATTTAGCTATTGATTAAGGTTAGTTAGCAGCCAGCATCCAGCAGCCCTCCCCCTTTTAGCCACACCATCCTCTTCAATCGAAGCTCGAACATTCATTGGTCTGGTCTGGCTGTGGGCTATAAAAATAAGACGTGCGTAGGCATTTACCGAAGTAACTTCCGCTGACTCAAGTGAAATGCAAATACCAGAAATGATATCTGATAAAAATAAACAGGAAAAGTCCTATCGGCAATTGCTATTGTTGTTTTCATCCAGCTAAAGTCAACACTCTGAAACACTCTTTAAATTAAATCCTTTCGTACCTAGTACAGTCTTTGTTTTAAGGTATTCCCCAGTACCTATATACACCCCACTGCCTGTGGTTATACCTTCAACCGGATGCCAAATAAAAGTAGTGCTGACACCCGACTGGCTATAAATTACGTTGAGCAGCTGCCAAAGCCCCATCCACAGCCAGACCCACAGCCAGACCCACAGCCAGAGTCAAAGTTTGGGCATCAAAAGTGATGATAGCAAAGAGCGTTACGCGTTAGCGTTAAAGTTGACGTTGACGTTCACTACGATTAGTTCCGTGGCACGCGTGTGCATATGAATGTGTGTTTGGACACCATTTGAATATATATGTATAGCGTCTGTAAAGCAGTATATAATACTACATATATATTGTAACAGTTACATTTATTCGTACGCGTATCATGAGTCTCCGTTCGGGCCAAGATAAGTTCATTTGTCTCGTCTGGTGCGGTCTTTTTTCGCCCAAAAATCCTAATTCACTTTGGTTGTTATTTAATTTCCATTAGCCCTGCAATAGCATTCGCCTGATGTAATTTCAGGCAGCATATTTTGTTGTGGAATTTAATTAAGCGTATTTACGGGTATACACACACACACACACAAACACTGGAGATGGTTTCAATCGGATATTTACATACCCGTGTACACGAGAAAATTCAGAGAAAACCTTTAATTTGTAGCCCATATTTATTCACGGCGCTATTTAGGTTAATGCGAAAATTATAATTGCAGTTTTGATAGATTTTTCATCGGGATCGGGTTCCCTTCCATCATGTCAGCTCTTCAAAATAATAATTAATTGGCAATTAATAATATATATTACCAAAGCGAATGATAGCAGAATGGAAAACTTTTTTCCCAGCAAATAAGTTAATTTAAAAAACAGAAAATGTAATATAAAATCATAGCTTCATAGCTAATTTGAATATGTAGTAAATGTATTTTTATTTACTTTTTAAAATTTATTAAAGCATTTAATACTCAAATTAATACGATTTTAACGAGTTCCAACAACTAGGCCTTCGACTCGGTTGGACACATTTATTTTTAAACAATGTGAACCTTTTTGAAGCCCCAGCACACCACACCATAAACATTTTTGGCAGCGGAGTGGCCCTGGCACTTAATTAAAAAATATATAAAATGTTGCTTATTTCGAGCATAAATAACTTGGACCCCGCAATTCATCTAAATTGCCGAAAGGAAAACCAAAATCACCGCAGGAAAATAAATGCGTTCGCATTAATAAATCGTTCTGAGTGACAGCATTTCCCCACGATTTTCGCAGCGCGTTTAGTTTAGAAATGGAAAAACATTTGCAAGTGAACCGAAACGCAACAGGGAAACTGCCTGCCTGCCACGAAAATGAAGAGTTTTAACTTGTTGATGGTTGGGACAAGTGACCCATGACGAGTGTGGCGCATACAACCAAAGCAACTGCTGATGGTGGGTGGGGGGGGGCAACAATAACAGCGGCAAGCCGTTTATTAAAGTAGGGAAAATTTAATGTGTCCGTTCACGCTCAAGTAAGACCGAATCGAAGCCCCTCGAGAGAGCGCAGAACGAAAGCAGCGAAACCGCAGTAGAACCAGAAGTGATAGCGGTACAAGTAGCCCCTCCACAAACCGACAATCGGCCACCACAAGAACCTGCCCACCGACTGCTAGTCTGAATAAAAGTCTTAAATGCAGCCGAGTGCAACAACGAGAGTAGTGCCCCATTACCATTACCATAAGCATTACCGGCTGCAGTGGGCGCCCACTTCTGCTCAGTTGGCTAGGAGCCGTGCAACGGTGTAAACATGTTCAACATTGCGCTCGCAGTTGCAATTTTCCATTTCCTGAGTGCGGTGTCCTTCGGCGTGGCGTACAGCCACCTGCCACCTGCCGTGCAGCTGGGCGGTGCCATAGTGGCGGCCGTGGAGCAGGACGCCGAGCAGGAAGCGGCCACCGAGGAGCACCATCGGGTGCAACGTGAGTGGCTGCAAATTGCCGAGCTGCAGCTGCAGAAGCTCCTCAACGACCAGCTGAGTGCCGAGGAGATGGGCAACATGCTGGATACGTGGATAGCCGAAGGTTCGTTGAGGACGTGCTCACGAAAGATTTCCATTTCCAGTTACTCAAGTGCGTCCTCGTGCCTCTCCACAGGTCGCGGCAAGCATCAGCACAAGAAGCAGCAGAAGAAGCTGGCCAAAATGCTGTATCCCGTGCTGGCCGCCGCAGCTTTGGCCAAAATCGTGCTGCTGCCCTTGGTCTTGAAGTGGCTGACGGCGCTGTCGACCTCGTCGTTCGTTATGGGAAAAATCGCGCTGGTCACCTCCGGTCTGCTGGCCCTGAAGTGGATCATATCCGGCGGGGGGCATGCAAGAGATCGCCTGGAGATCATTCACTCATCGATCCCAGCCATCAAGGGCTTGCACGGCCTGTCGGCCCACGCAGACCTTTCGCCCAGCGACAGCAGCTGGATGCCCATCCGGCCGCCCTACATCCCCCTGGGTGTGACCAAGGAGCATGGCCCAACTTTTTACAAGCCATTTTTATAGGTCACTTCGCTGCGCAAGAATCGGAGGAGAGTGAGAGCGAGAGTGCGATTTAGAGAGGTCTCTTTCTAGTGTTAGCAAATAGACATATAAGGCCACGTAACTCCCGACTTCATCAGCAATTAATTAGCACATGACTCGCCCCCCCCCGTCGTGCACAGAGCGCTGAAATTAACAGCACTGCTGCGGTGCCGTTATGCATATAACGGTTTATTGCGCATGCGCACAGGCCAGCCCTCGATCGACCAGCGACCACGGCCAAGACATCACTGTCGGCGACACTTCCGCAAGTGCGTGTGTTGCAATGAAAGCCGACAAGCGTACAGCACGGCCATCACGGCCAGCACGGCCAGGGTTATGTAAAGACCAGAAAAGTCAACCAACAGGTTGTCACAAATCAATCAGCATGCAGCGGCGACAGCTACAGGTGCAGCTGCGACTTGGGTGGGCCCTCCGGATCGATCACACACACACACGAGTAGTATTAGCCCGAAGATTGAAAGTAGATGTGGCACAGACACTGAAGAGCTGAACTTCTCCCTTCCTTGATCACATTTACATCCATTTGTAGGTGTACATATCTGTACATAGCCGAACCAAATTGCATGTTATTTATATCACAAATAAGAGTTTAAAAATATCGAAATCGGAAGCAGCGATCCCGCTGTATGCAAAATAGCAGCTACAATATTTTTTCAAAAGGTATCCTGGCACGGGTTTAATTGTTATGACAAGTTTTCTTGAAATAAATTTTTGTACAACTTTTATTTGTAATTACTAAAATAAAAATTGAAATTGAAAATTACCTTCAATTTTTATTATAAAATTCAATAATTGTCCTCTAATTGACAGATTTTAAGCAACGAAAATAATGAATAAAAAACAAATAAAAATTACTCAAACTAGGACAGCACGGATCCACGGATGGATGAATGTAATTTGGCTCATTGTCTGAGCGCTCTGCCTACGCACATCGCGCCTACATTTCCGCGCAGCAAGTGAAAGTTTTAGGGCGCCCATGCCCATGCCCATTCCATTGGATAAACAGCAGAGACACAATTGCAGGTGTGTGGGGTGCGGTACGGGCGGGGCAAAAGCTACAAGCGACAGGTATGCGCATGCTTGCCGCGTATCTAACAAATCGATCAACAAAACCCCGAAAAAGACAGCCAGCAACCACAAGGCGTATCTTTATGTGAGCGGCGGCGACTTCTTTCTAAGTTGAGACGTTGAAAGTGAAGCTGAGACCGGGCCGAGACTTGGCTTGGCTTGGCAATTAGGCTTGAGCGGGCGACGGCTGCGGAGCGTTGGCTTTTGTCATCGCATCTCTGGCTATTAACAACATTCTCTGACTGCGCAATGTTTGCGACTCTCACGAGATTACTTAACCAGGCCATTTAGCATAGACGACACCACTGCCACAGCCCCAGCCACAGCCACAGCCCCAGCCACAGCCACAATGTCGTCCCGAGCATGTTGTTTGAACATTTGTGTCATCAATTTCACTTTCTTTCGCGTTCATGCGGATGGGGTTAAACAAAGCGATGATACTTAGGCCCAGGCTCTAGCTCCGGCTCTGACTTGTGCTCAAAGTGATCCCACAGGCGCCCTTAATCATTTTGCCGGGGCCACAAAGATCCCAGACAAAACGAAAAATATGATGGCAATTGCTCTCTTACCATTTGTCCAGAGTGTGGCAAAGTGAATTGAATTTGTTTTGGGGTTGAGTTGGGTGCATGGTAATGTTTATGAATTTTTAACGCCCGAAAAGACCCTGCAGACCCTAAAAAAAAAAAAATATGCAAACATGCCTGCTCGATGCATAAAAACCGTTCCACTCCACATTGGAGCTGCACTTTCAGCCAGCCAGCCAGCCAGCCAGCCGACAATGACGGCAGCGGCAACAAATACTCGTACTGCCTGCTACAACGACTACGCACAATATTGACTTTTCATATTTGCACAAATGAAAAGAAAATCAATTTCACCTGTTGGCATTTTTGCGTTTAACCCGACAGCAACAAAAATATATATGACCAAGAGATACAATATTCACACTGGCGCGTTTTTTCCAAATATTTTTTAGGGCTTAGATGAGGCTTTGGCATGGAAAAGTATGCCTTTGAGGCTTTGCCTATTCCGAGAAGAACCAAGCCAAGCGCATTTTGATCCCATAACCTAATCAAATTCAAGTTCTCCGAAAACTGTCTCAGCTCTGCACGAGAATATTTCCTTCTCCTACTCCTACTCCTCCTACTCCTCCCGGTGTGATGGAATGCCAAAAATTCTGTTGGTTGATATTCAACAAAAACACTCAAATGGGTCAGTAGAACGGCAGCGGCAGCGGCACTGGCTGACCAAAAAAACCTCACCGAAACCGGCAACTGCAAAACGCGTCAAGCTAATTCGAAAAGTAAACGCACATGGGCACATGGCTCTGGGAGCAGTACGCGAGAGAGCAGTACACGAGAGAGCCCCAGCCCGCCACACCCACACGGTGCGAGACAAGGAAAGTGGCAAGTGGGGGCAATTGGCAGTCGGCGTTTAGGCCAACTTGTTGCCGTCTAATTGAGCGACGTCCGACGCCCAGCAACAAATCGCGACTCGCAAAAAAGAAACGAAGCTAATTGACTTTGTATAAATAATGAATCGAATGCCTACACTGTGAGTCGGAACGCCTAGCCCTGTCAGGAACGCATTATGGGGGAGCAGAGCATGAGACATGGGAAAGGTTATCAGAATTGACAGTTCTCAAAGGCAGAAAGCAAGCCACAGCCACGGGTAGAAAAGAGAAATTGTTTATGATTGGCATTTAGAAACTTTGTTTGATTTGACAGTTGGGTGGGGGTAATCGGTACTCGGACTCGTAAAACCAGACGGCTGGCCGTCGATAAGGCCTTGGCCGGAGGTCCCGGCAATCCGGTTTGCGGCTACAGCGGCACAATGCAGATTGCAAAACTCAATGGGAGTTACATAACTTTCACTCAAAAGCGATGACGCGAACTGCGAACCGCGAACCCCAGCGGCGCGCTTAGCGGCTGCGTCAATGAATGAGTAGTGCGAAACTGGATCGCATACCGGACCGTGCGTGCGTGCGTGCATGAGGCAAGCCAATGGCATGCGGGCCGGGCATCATCAATGATGGCATGAATGGAACTCTCCGCTAGAGGTGGAGTGTTGCAGCGCCGAGATATGCAAATGGTCGCAACAAGTGAATCACTGCACAAAGTGTGTGTGCTCGATAAGGCATACTTCCTAGCAGGCACACTTTCTTTTTCTTTCGCTCTCCGGAGCGGCTAAAACAATAACCGAAAATAAAGGCGCGTCACTCATACGCAGCGTGTGACAAGCCGACGCCCGCGGCCGTGGCCACAACTGGCCTGCCCGGCACACGGCAACAACGGCAACAACGGCAACAACAGCAACATTGGGGGCAACATTTAGTGTCGCATTTCGTTGTATGTAATATAAATGAAAGTGAGCCAGGCAGCGGCTCGGCTACATACAATTTTCCCCCGCTTCTTTCGGCTCTTTGAATGGGTTGCCTTTAATAAGCAGCTGGAACAATAAAGATACAAATTTTGTTGCTGCCAAAAATTGAAGCTGCTTCGATTTTATAGAGATCTTTTATACGAAACTTGACATTTTACGATGCAATGCCCCACAGAGAAACTCGGATAGAAACATAAACTGTCAATGCAGTGGACAAATGTGGGCCGTGATGGCAGAACGTGACTGGGAAAATCTTCGAGCGAATGAATGGATGAATCATATGCTTCAGTGTGTTGACTGAAAGACACATAAAAACATACGTACTGTTATGTATGTATGTATGTGCCAGACTGCCAGAGAAAACTATTCCTTGGGAATACGAGTGGGGCTTAAGCAAAACGAAGGAATGGAAATCAAATTCCGACACGTAGAATGTTGCACTGAAAGAAGACGCATAAGTATCTGTGGGGACAAATATTATTCCATTCCAAAGAAAATCCTTGCCTCTGACCTATGAACTACTACAACTTATAACCATTGGGAAAGAGTGATTTATTTTAATATTTTGTCTTTATTTGTATATTTATATACTCGTAAATACATATGTAGAAGTATTCAACTTAAGGTTTTCACAATTCTCACACATAACCGGAACTCTCTGTCTGGATTGCCGCATTCTTCTTCTCTCACTGCCCCACTCTGCGTTTATCTATTCGCTTATATATATTGGGGATACTCCCACTTATTCCTTTCCTAAATACCTTTTTTGTTAATCTAAGATGTCACACAAATTGGCTCATTTAGAAAGAATAATATGACTTGATTTGCTCGTAATTCAAAGATTCATTCTCCTAAATGTATGTTTATTTATTTATTTATGCCAAAATATTCGTCTTTAACCCATTCTATTGTATAGCTCTATTGAGTCATACCTTTACAGCTTTGCTATTCATATCCACTTACATTTTCCACTAAATCTTCCGTTAATCCTTTTCCTTACATCACTTAAGTTTCATACATTTTGCACCTCTTGTATCTTATTATTCATTGTTAGCTCGTATTTTTCCCATTCCCACTTAACTTTCAATTATTACCACATAGACAGAGGCACATGGACATGGGCACAGTCCAATTCAATTATCAAAGTGCTAAACACTATTTCAGCAAGCCATTCATGCACCATTCCCTACAACAACAGAATGGGCAAACACAAATGACCCATTTATGCACCGAAGAAAGGAGACACACACACACACACACACACACACACACACACAAGCACATATTTGCGACACATAAATGGACAGCGTGAAATATACGGCAACCGGATCGTTCGGTTAAGAAGCGTAAATAAATTAGCAAATATGTGACTTTGGATATTGCGAGAGTCGAATGAAAGCTGAGCGCAAACGCAGCCGGGCTGGGCCTCGGGTAAACAGCCTCATTGAGGGCGTGTGCATATCGAATGCCTCCAGACCATATCCCAGTCCCAGGCCCAGACCCAAGACCACCAGCCAATGATGCCGCATGTTTACCAGACAACAACCAGCCAAGGCAGCAGCACCCCTCCGCCTGGTCCAATGGCCAAGTCCAAGTACAAGTTTCTCTCCAATGGGGCCCTGTCGACGACTGCGACGTAGACGTTGACGGATGAAGACGGCGCTCCCGAAAAAAGGCAGCAGGGCTGCCCAAAAAGCCACCAAAATGAACATGTCAGTGAACAAACAAGTTGACTTTATTTTCTAGATTTATGTACATATGTGGTTGTTGCCTCTGCGACTCTCCAACTCCGACTCTGACTCTGACTTCGAAACTCGGGAGAGCCGGCACATTTTTCGCGTTTTTGTTTTGTTTTTTTTTTTGGTTGCTTCCGCAGTCGACAGCTACGTTGGCGGCTGCGTCTCGGCTGGTTTTATTTAATTTACTTTGAAATTGTTTTGTAATGCGTACCGACTGCGACGTCGGCGGTGGCTGCGCGGCTGCAACAAACGCCGCCCAATATAAAAGGCTAGACGTCTCGAGACGCATACATCAAACTCATCTCAACGGTCTCGAGCTCAGCAGCACAGCAGCCAGCATCAGCAAGGATTAAACCGTGTCGCGTTCCGAATTAAAAACGAAATAACAAAAATGAAAGTGTTTGCCATCGCTTGTGTTACCCTCTTGGCGGCTGCCAGCTGCGCCTGGGCCGCTCCCAGTGTCCAAGACAACAAAATCGAAAGTGATAACACGCTCGGCCGGGCCGCCCGCTATCTGGGCGCCTGTTTGGAGAGCGATGACATGGCCACCTGCCTGGCTGTCAAGGGCATCACAGCCCTGAATCGTGCCGCCAGGAGCAACAACATTGAGCTGGCCAGCGGCGTCACCTTCCAGAGGTGTGTTGAGTGTTGTGTGTTGCGTGTTGTGTGTCTGACTTTTTTCAAGTGTCTGTTCTGTGACAGTGTGCAAAATATGAAATTGAAATCGAAATCAAAACTGAAAGTGATGTGCGGCCGCTTGGATTTGACACTGTTTTTAATGTGATCCGTTTCCCATCCGTTGCAGAGATCCCGCCAGTCCCGTGCAGCGCAACGGCAAGTCCCTCAGCGAACAGGATATCTATGCCGAGCTGCCCCAGAGCGCCGAGGATCGCAATGGACGCCTGGTCGATCTGGCCATTTCCAGCGCCACCGAATTCCTGTCCACCCACAACTTGGAGTTCAAGCTGCCCTCGGAGACCACCCAGCAGGTGGCCCGCGCTCTGGATGAAGGTGAGTTCTCAGCTACTCCGACTCCCAAACGTGAATTGGCTAACAAATTGGACATTCTTGTGTGGTTCAGGTCGCGGTAAGATCAAGAAGATGATTGGACCCCTGGCCCTGGCTATTGGCGCCAAGCTGTTCGCCGTCATTCCTCTGGTGCTCGGATTCCTCGCTCTGCTGACCTTCAAGGCCGTGATTGTGGCCAAGATTGCTCTCTTCCTGGCCGTCCTGGTTGGCGGCTCTCGTCTGCTGGGCGGATTGGGCGGCAAGTTCGGTGGCAACTCCATCGGCGGTGGCTACAGCTCGAACGCCTGGTCTGCCCCTGCCAGTGCTGGCTGGAGCTCGGGTGCCTCTTCTGCCTATCCCTATGCCCGCAGCATCAACGAGGAGCAGGTCGATGCCCAGCAGTTGGCCTACGCCGGCCAGCAGCAGTAAGCCGGAGTCGGGAGAGTCAGAAGCCGTGGATGCCATTGGTTCCACAAATGTGCCTTTGTTTTGAAGCCAATCCCCTAGCGTGTAGTAATTTATTCGAAGAGTAATTAACTAATTAATTGTACCACAAGAGACAGTCGAACAATCAGCTATGCAGCAACAAAATAGTCATTATGAATGTTTGAATAAAACTAAAAGTATTTCCTCAACCTGGCCCTCCACCACCGCTCTCGAGCGTTACACATTCCATCAATGCATCGGCATATATATATATATTGTATTTGCACATCAAAATCCCTGCACGTGCCTCTCGGGCATTTTGTATAATGGATGCCGAGGGCGTGGTTGGACAAAATGTTTACCTACTGGTAAAAGACTTTCCCATGGGGCAGCCTAATTGAAATGCTGACAGACTCACGGCAGACTGGTTGGGCGACAAATATTTGGAACTTTGTCGAATGGGCTTGACCCAAGAGTGCGGCAAGGCAACAAGTTTCTTGTGGCAATTAAAACTTGTGGCAGGTTCTGCTGCTGTTGCTGCTGCTGCCTGTCCCTCAAACGAGTGGCAAAAGGCTGTGGCTGAGCTGAGCGAAAGACTGTGCCAAAATGCTGAGCAAAAAGAATTGATAAGCTTCGGATTAAGTTTTCGCAGTGGTGTCCCAGTGCTCCCTGTGCGCTGCTCATAATTGGAGTTTCAAATACTGATGTGACTGCGGCGCACGGCATGTTAATTGTCTGCCGCCACACAAGTTGCAGCCAGAAAAAACTTTCTACTTATGCTCATAAAAGTGTCACTTTTGCGATTGAAAAGATATGTATGCGCCTGAGTTCAGCTTTCTTTTGGAAATAGATTTAGAAGCAATTGAAATAGAAAACGAATAGAGCGCCAGCAAGCCAGCAAGCCAACAAGCAGCCAGCAGCCAACAGCCACCGAGCGACACTTGACAAAAAGAGAATGAAATCGAAAGCGTTGAAAGCGTGGTGGCTGGCCAGAGCAACTAACTGGGCCAAAGCGGGCATTAAGTCACCACGACTGAGGCATACCAAATAAGGGCCAGATCGGCAGCCCACTAATAATCACTTTAATGGAATTCAATGGCACGCCTAATGAGCGATGGCGAGCGAGGAGTCAGTCGAGTCGGTGGGAAGAAGCCCAGGCACAGGCAGCGCCCAAGAATCTGGCACAGTCAGTTCCCTTCAAGAGCCGAGAGCCAACCGCAGTCACGTACCCGGCAATGGACTTTAGGGACTGTGAGTGCTGCATGCCAATTACAATCAGCTAACGGTGGAAGGCAGAAATTGGGCCATTTGCTTATATAAAATATATGTACGATACAATATACAAAAATCATATCCAGCCAGGCAGAAGCAGAGGCAGACGCAGACGACCGGTCACTTCCCTTTCGTTGACGACGTGCGTGGAAATATGGTCAAGAAATTGTTGGCAGGTAGCATACGCATACGCTTTGCATAAATTGATTGGGCCTGGCATGGCCTGAGTCTGGTCTGGACTGGCTCTCTGTCGCTGCTCTTTGGTATGGGGATGGGTATGGGTATGGGGATTGGTATTGCAGTGCGGTGCGTTTTTATTTTTTTGGACACTGCGCGATTTCTAGCCGCACAAAATTGGTCAATCGACTCAGTTTGGGCCAGCGGGCACGCATACGTTTTGAAAAGGTATAAAACGCGGGGGCATTGCATACAATTAATCACAAAGCAATTTCCATTCGCAAAGCCAACAGCCCCAGTCCAGCCAACAGTGCGCCGACCAGTGTGGAATCCAATCGAAGGATTATCAATATAAATATAACAATATCGACATTTGTCCAACCAACCAAAGTGCTAAGCAATATGTGCGCGAAATTCGTTTGTGTTGTGCTGGTGGCCAGCTTTGTGTGCGGTGCTTTGGCCCTGCCATCGCAGGATGGCAGTGAAAAGGATTTAGTGAACATGCTCAACAGATTGGATAACGAGGATTCGGTGCCATTGTTCGGTGGACTGCGCATCGATCGCTCCGAGACGGGACGCAGCTTTGGTGCCAACAAGGCCGTCGAATCGTTTGAGGATCGTGCCGAGCGCTATCTGGAGACCCATGAGCTCAATCTGTCCTTCTCCGGCGATGAGCAGGAGGAGAATACCGAGAACGAGTATGCCGGACGTGCCATGGATGGTGAGTAAAGCAAAGCGAAGTGTCCCGACAATGTCACTCTCTGAAAAAACATTGCGTATACAACGTGTTGCACTGCCGGAACAAATGGCAGCTAAAGTCACACCAACAAAAGCGTTGCATACTTTACTGCCGTGGCTTGCGTGGAAGTGAAAGCTTTCTCCGACCTGACACGAATGGAATACTTTTGGGTGGCCCTCCACTGAATGTCTCCGCTTTCCTTTCTCTCCGCTTTCTCCGCACAGAATCCCGCAGCAAGCGCATGAAGAAAATGCTGCTGCCTCTGCTGTTGGCTTTGAAACTGAAGAAGGCTGTTGTCGTCAAGGTCATGTTCACCATCATCAAGTTCATCTCGCTGAAGGCTCTGGCCATCTCCTTCCTGGCTCTCATTCTGGCTGGTAAGTTTCGCTTCGCAAAATGACAGCAGAGAAGCTCACTCACTGGATTTTCCCCCTGATTTCCCACGCCTTGCAGGTGCCACCTTCTTCAAGGACCTGCTGGCCAAGAAGAAGGAACACATCACCACTGCCTACATCACTGGCAGCCCCCTGAACGCCGATATTGTGCACTCCGACTGGAGCCGCAATGGACAGGCCCCCGGTGCCGATTTGGCCTACAACCACTACGGCCTGGCCCAGCCCTTCTAAGCTGCCATCCCGCCCCACCAATCCAATCCAACCATCCTCCCAAACCCACTTTACTAGTCTATATTCCCTGCCCCACTTTCCTTTCATTTCTCTACCTGCCTTTCTCCTTTCCAACCCCCCACCACTTCACCACTTCATTTCCCACATGAGACTTTACCCCTGAAGAATGGCTTAAATTCGTTGTAGTCAATAATTATGTATTTACGAGTAGTTACATTTAGTTAGTTAGCTGCGACATACCAAAAACCCAAAAAGAAAACCCAAAAAAAAAAAGAGAAACTTAGAAAGGGTGCAATCGGATGCCCATGACTTGGCTAGCTCAGGACAATGCTTAAGGATATATGTACACAATATTTGCGCCATATTTATTGCACATTTCGTTCCACAACCCAGAACCCATAACTCTTGGCGGATGTAAATGTCACTCAGGTCCAATCGAACACAACGAAGATTATGCCTGCTAAAGAGCTTACTTACTTACTAAGTATTTATTTCGATAACTTAAAGCAAAAGCAATTGAATAAAAATGATTCATCAAATGCAAAAATCACAAATACTTCAAACTTTTTCAGCAGCAGAAACACCTAAATATATCAGAACTAACATGCGGCCATAAATAACATCAAAGCGATAAAGCCCCCAGGAAGGGAAGGCATCCTGCCGTGATATATGGCACAAACATTTTCCCGAACCGACCTTTTTTTAGACACGACAAAAATCTAACAAACGGCAGAAATAGTCCACAACTCTCATCAGAGGTGAAGATTAATGGCTGGCAGTGCGATTGGATTGATTTTTGGTTCACGCTCCGTTTTGACAGAACCACAGTCACCAACAAAAGTTGCTATCCCTGAATAAACATATGTATGTAAGTAGTTGGGAAAGGCAATCAAAGAAAAATAATCATCCAATCAAAAAAACATACACATACAAGGAACTGAAATAGTATGCAATGTAGTATGGTCCCGTTGGCCGACAGAAACGAGCAACACAATGTAATCTTCCCCCTCCACTACGCTTGCATAGTTTTTGTTGTTGCTGCTGAGAGAGCAATGGCAAGAGAATGTATTGGCATAAGAAAAGAAAGCGCAGGAGCTAAGACTATTGCAACATCACTGCACGTGAAGCGAAATAAGCAAGAAAAAATGAATATGTGGAAGAGCATAAGCCTGGCTCTCCATCTCTGGCGAATACATACACTCAGAGAAAAATGGCATGCTAAAAAGAACGAGAAGGAACGTGTGAGTCACTTCTGGGGACGCGACTCTACTTATACCCGTACTCAGTCAGTATATACATTTATGAGCATATAATTTTTTAGAATTTAAGAATTAAAGAAAAAAAATTTTACATTTTACATTTTTTTGCTACATCTGTTATCTACATATACATATACAATGTATATTCTACATATCCTCCGCTGGGGGTTGCTCGTGAGAAAGAGAATGAGAGCGCGACTCTGTCAGGAGGGGGCGGGGGAAGCAACTGAAATGTATAATATACATTGTATATGTATATGTATATGTAGATACCAGATGTAGCAAAAAAATGTAAAATGTAAAAAAAATTTTTTTTTTAATTCTAAAATTCTAAAAAATCATAAGCTCAAAAATGTATATACTGACTGAGTGCGGGTATAAGTAGAGTCGCGTCCCCAGAAGCGACTCACACGTTCCTTCTCGTTTTTAAACTTAAACTTTGCTCTCGAAGCAAACTGTTTTGCAAAATTTGATGGATTTTTTCTCTCCGTGTGCGAAGGTGCCCCACACACTGGCCATCGTTGCTGAAGCGTTGCTTTCTTTGTCCAAATTGATTTGAGCTCATGCAAAAATAGTGTGAATATTTGTGTTTCATTAATTGATTAGCAAATTTAATTGGCCACGAAGAAAGCCTTCTTTGCGTATTCCTCCTAATTGATTACAGGCAAATGTCCCAGTTAATGTTCCTCTATATAAATGACAAAATGTCGACTGTGGTCCATCAGTTCTGTTGGCCGGCATTAAGATGAACGGCATAAGCAACAATTTGGCAGGCGGATGCGTTATCAAAGTCGCCCTTATCGTCGGCTTGCTGGTGTCTCTTGCCTGGACCCTGCCTGTCAACGAGGAAAATTTCCCGACTGACTCAATTCGAACTACCGAGAAGCTAGCTGCGGATGCAGAACTTGGGGATGGCTCCTTGGATGCTGGTAGTCAACTCCGCTGGAAACGTCCCGATGGAAGCGGTGGATTTTTCCAGAAATTCGGCCAAAGAATAAAAGATAAGAGGACCAGAAAAACAACCACTTCTACTACACCGCCCACAACGACCACCACCACCACTACAGTTCGCACAACGACAACCACAGTGGGCACAACGAGCACAGCAATACCGACATCAACTGGAGCGCCCACAACGAGCACAGCAATACCGACATCAACTGGAGTGCCCACAACGAGCACAGCAATACCGACATCAACTGGAGTGCCCACAACGAGCACAGCAATACCAACATCAAGCACCACAGTGGCCACAACGACAACTACAGTGGGCACAACGAGCACAGCAATACCGTCATCAACTACAGTGGGCACAACGAGCACAGCAATACCAGCATCAAGCACCACAGTGGCCACAACGACAACCACAGTAGGTACAACTACAGAGGCCACAACGAGCACAGCAATACCGTCATCAACTACAGTGGGCACAACGAGCACAGCAATACCAGCATCAAGCACCACAGTGGCCACAACGACAACCACAGTAGGCACAACTACAGAGGCCACAACGAGCACAGCAATACCGTCATCAACTACAGTGGGCACAACGAGCACAGCAACATTACCATAAATTCTGCGAGTCTATAGCCAAACAGGACACAATAGACTTTCAATGTCCCTAGAATTTTGTATTAATATTTATTCATATTTAATTCCCAATACCCTCAAAATAAATAAATATTTAGCTAGATCTATCACAAAATGTACGTCAAATCCAAAGTAGTGTAAATATGGTTTGAAGAGATTCGTTAAGCCATTAGGAACTAATGGAAAGGCCAAAATCAAAGAGCAACTAGACAAATTAATGATTCGCAGAGTATATTATGAATATAAAGAGTCAAGAGGCAAGAGGCTGGGCAGCGGCGAGGAAAGATATATTACCTCATGGGCGAAGAAAGCGGCGAAACGAGTGTAGGTAGGCTGGAAGAGAAATGAAATGAAAATGTAGTAATAATTAACAATGAATTGTTAGTTAGTCCCAGTTGGGCAGCCAAAATGCTGTGACTTAATTTATGGCAGTCCGAGGCACGCGACTTTGCGTCTCTGCCTCTGGTAATTATGCGGAGTTGTCTGCGAGTTTTCTTCTCAGCTTCCAGGGCTCTCCGGGAATTCATTAGCTGGAACTTTTTTGGTGACAGAATTAGCCGTAGTACATAGTCATGAACGTCTCGCAAGACTGGGCGCTGCCACAGAGGAAAGCGAAAGTCCCACCCATTCCACTCCAGCCCCCCCAGTTGCCCGATTGCCCGGTTGGACGCAGCTGACTGACGCTGGGAAGAATTTTGACCACAAATCGTTTGGGTAATTAGAAAAGCAAGGGGCCACAGAGAGTACACAGAGCACGGCGAGCATTGGTGAAAGGGAAATGGGAATAGAAATGGAAGTGGAAGTTGGTATAAAAGGCGAACCCATAAAAATGAGATGTTGCAGTCTCTCAAGCAATCCCTTCAAGCATTAGTCGTATACAGTAGCAGTTGACTAGTCCCGCCAAATATGTTGCTTATCAAAACCCTGGAGTATCTGTTCTACCTGGCTCTGTTTGCCTTTATGTGCAAATATGGCCAGGCGGCCAGCGTTCAGTCCACAGAAGCCTCGCCTATTGACACGGAACCCCTAAGGAAACCACAAAAAACAGATATGCCACTCAATGAGTGTCATACATCGTCTTTCAGCTGGATGTGCCTCAAGATAGAGCTGGTCAAGATCATGGAGAGGCTGGCAGAACAGCAGGAGCTCAGTGTCCTACCCGGCGTCAGTGTGGTCAAGGATGAGAGTGCCACCGAAATGAAGACCTCCGAGCTAATGGCGGGTAAGCAGCTCTTGCTCACATCTTTATGGAGCAAAGGACTCTTCAAATACTGTCTACTCTTGCAGAGGTGGCACGCAGCTATCCAAGCGATCCCAATACTCGCCTGAATGGTTATATAGTGGCCAAAATGGAGAATCTCCTCAAGACGCGCTTCCTGCGCTTCCGCTTGCTGGACGACAAGGCCCTGGTGGAGGGACGTAAGCACAAGTTTGGCAAGAAGGGCGGCCTGGAGGCTCTAGTGGCAGCCGGTGTCATGATGAAGGGCATGCTCATGGCCATGGGCCTGGGCGCTATAGCCCTAATGGCGGGCAAGGCTCTAATGGCCGCTCTCATGGCCCTGACGCTGTCTGGCGTGCTGGGCCTTAAAAGCTTGGCCGGCGGTGGCAAGTCCACCACCTACGAGATAGTGGCTAAGCCCATTTACACCTCAAGCCACTCCCACTCGGTTACCCACGAGGATGGACACGGTGGACACACGCCCCACTTCGCAGCTGGCGGCGGTGGCGGTGGCACTGCCAGTGGTTTTGGTTACGGTGGCTATGCCAGATCTATGAATTTGGTGCAGCCAACCGCCAGTCAGTTACACAAGTTGTAGACGAAAATGAAGCACCATTACGGGTATTCCTACATTTAAGCTATTTATTTATTTATTTTACTTTAAGCATGACAGGAAATACAGGCAAATATTATGAAAAACTCAAGCGCTATAAATCAATGGGTTACACTTGTTACACTTGTTTGCTGTGCAGAATTCTTTTAGCTAGATATTTATATTGGTTCTTCAATATTGGCCTCAAAATGTTCTTGACCACCGAACAACTGTGCTGCTATTTCATTCTCCTGATGTCTGTCACTGCTACTGCTGGACGCAAAAACCTCATATGTAATTTACATCTGAATCATTCAAAAACTATTAGCTTTCTTATATTTTATATTTATACACAGATTGCGATGAATTGGGTGTTTGTCAGAAAAATTGTTTTGTGTTAATTAACAATGCAAAAACGTGTCCTGGCGATACGAAGTGCTGCCTAAGTGGAATCGTCCCAGATACTTATGTGCCTTGAAATTTAATCACAAGATAAATGAATGCCAATGAGAATTGTATGAAAACATTTAACAGAGTTTAGTATTGAATATTAAACTTGCAAATAAATTTTGCACAAAATGTGTAACATCTATAATTATGCTAATAAAAAGCATATGCAATGGGTATATTTATTTAAGTTATTTATATACCAGTACTATAAATTATAAAAAGTATAATAAGTATAATATAATAATAATTTATAATTATAATAAGTATAGTGTGGTAATTAATCTACTGTACTACTAAAAACTAAGAAAATGTTATATTTATTTATATGTATATATATTTTTGATTTGTATAATGAAATATCTTTTTAATATTATGAACTTTACAACGGAAATTTGAGCCACATCACAAGTCGAGTGATGTCAAGCTCAGTAAACTTGTGTATACATAAAATCAACGTCAATTAGCAAGTCCTAGGAGAATGAACTATCTGGCCGTATATGAAAACTTTTTAATACCCTCACCTAAGCTCTCTTTGCAGAACAAAGTTCTCGCTTTTAAACAAGAACTTGCAAAAAGTTTGTTGCCAACAAAACTTTAAAAAGGTATTTAAACTTCAGAGCGAAAAACCCAAGCTGGCTCTGATACTCGTATTAATTAGCAAAATAATTAAAAATGAATTTTACCACTAGCCTACTTTTCAATTTGACCCAATTTTTAAATATAAGACAGGAAATTTTTCACAAGAATTTTGTCCATTTCGTCTAACCATGAAGTCAAATTTCGTTGGTATGTAGCTGGTATATTTCTTTCCGATACATTTTTACTTACTGACACTTTCTACAGCTGCAACTGTTAGCCTTCTGCTATCGATATCATTGATTAGAAACTGCCACGCGGAGGGTACGCCTTCTCTGTCTGTACTGACATAGTTTGGTCCTGAGGACCAAATCGGAGCGAAATTCAATGGACTATTGGCTGAGAATTTGAGCAATGAAAGGAAAAGGATCTGGAATGAGCAAAATCCGAAGAAGACCGACAATAGAAACATACCTAAAAGATGGCGAGGTAAATGTCAGACAACAACATCTACATCAACACCTACAACAACAATTTGATAACTAGAAATTAAACACAAAAACTGATTTATATATTTACTCGCTTATCTGTACTTACCAGCCTTACGAAACATTACAAGCCCATTACTTTTGTATCAAATAAAATAAGGCAAATTTATTTAGTTTGTTTTATTTGTAACATTTTATTTAATTTAATTTTTTTGCATCATTCAGCTTCTATCAAATATGACAGCCTCTATTTCGGTTTCATTCTAGACTTTTCCCTTTCAACAATTTTATGGCCCTGTGGATGTTGTAGCTGGCGGTGCTTCTGAAGTAGTTGTTGTTGTTTTTCTAAACTTGCCCCGCCATTTTGTGGGCTCTGTGGAAATTGTAGTTGGTGGTGCTTCTGAAGTAGTTGTTGTTGTGGTTGTTGTTTTTCTAAACTTGCCCCGCCATTTGGTTGGTAGAGGGCGGTTCCCGATGTTATTTGAACTTAGGTCCTTCCAGATCTTTCTCAGATTCAATCCTGAGTCCTTGAGGAGAGTCTCAGCCAGAATTTCATTGAATTTCGCTCCGACTTGGTCCTCAGGGTTGGCCATGCGCAAACTTGGGGCATAGTTCTGCATGAATGAAATTGGATATGGGATATAAACCGGCATCGGATAGTACAGCGGTGCACGGGACAGTTGCGTTGCGTCGAAGTTCGGGCCAGGTGCTAATTGGGGAGAGCTGTTCCACATTTCAGGCATTGACAAGAGTTGGGCCTGCAGATACGACTGAGGGCCATTGAGAGCGTTGAGGCTGAGTCCAGGCTTCGTCTTGTCAGGCGCTTGTGTTGGCTGGGTTGGTTTCACTGTCACTTCCGACTCAGCATCGCTAGTTGTTCCTGCCTCCGTTGTTTCGTATTCGATTGCCTCCGATACCACTGGCTTTGTTATGGGGCTCGTCAGCACTATCAGAGGAGGTTCCCCATCCTCAGCTCCAGCTGTCAGGACTGCCAGGGGAGGCGTACCCTCCGCGTGGCCGTTTCTTATCAATGATACCCATAGCAGAAGGCTAACAGTTGCAGCTGTAGAGAGTGTCAATAAGGATACAGTTTTCGAGGAAAAGTGTTCCAGCTACATACCTCCGCAATGTGACTTCATGGTGACACGAAATGGACTAAAGTTCTGTTGAGAAACTTCAGTTTTTATATGCGAATATTCGATCAAATTAGAAAGTGGACCACATTTGAATGCTTCTGCTAATTAATAATAAATTAATTTTTAATTAAAGTTCTCCAGTTACACATCGACGTGGCATACTTTTAGGCATCTTCAGAAATCTCTCACTCTCTCTCCCGCTGTCTTTCGATGCGTGTGTGTGTGTGTGTGTGAGTTACCGGTATGGTATAGTTATGCTCACCCAACATCACCATCACCATCACCCCAAGTTGGCCGCATCTTGTCTGCACATTCAGTCTGGCACCTCGATTCAGTTGGTCTTAAACGTTTGCCGGTCTTCCACGTTCATCGCGTCGCAACGTTACGGCTCAGAGCGGGAGCCCACAGCAGCTATAAAAAAAGTGAAAGACACCGATGCTACAAGACGAATTCTGCATATCAAATGTCCGAAATTTTGGTGTTAAGAAAAAGCAGATAGCGAAAGTAACTAGCCGACAATAACAACAAATTGTCTTGCTAATTAGCCGCCGTCACGCAACAGCAACAGCAACGACAAGAATTATGAGTCGATGAGGCTGGAGTGAATGTGATTTCTGTCAGTGTTTCCGTGAGTGTAACTGTGATTGTGAGTGCGTGCGAGAGGCTGCTAATTGCTGGTGGAACATCTTTAGCAAAAACAAAGACAAAAATCAGTAAGTAAAAACCCGAAAGTCAAACATTCCGACTTAAATCGAAATTGATTGCTCGTGAAATGCAAATATTTGACCCAGTTTTGAGTGCGCCCCACTGCCGCACAGACAAACAAAAGCCAACAACAGCTGGCAAGCCAAGCCAAGCCGGTTTTGGCAGCCACTGCAAGGCTGTACTCTGATGCACTGTGCTGCACTGCCGGGATGGCTTATCAACCAAAAAATCAACAAAAACCCGTTTCTTACCTTCCTGCATGTGAGGAGAGTGGAAATTGCTGTAAAAGTGAAATTTCTTGTGGTCTGAGGCTTAATAAAGTTCTTAAATACCCAAACGCCGCCGCCGCCGCCGCCGCCTGTACCGCCTACCCGACTCACTTGAGTTATTAGCGCATGCCAGATGAGAATCACAACGCGCTCTAATACCCAACAAGTAGCAGCACAGGAGGTCCATATACTCGTACCCGTACTCGTGCTCGTATATTAGAATGCCAATTAGGGTTTGGATGGCGTGCCAAGTGGCTGTAGATTCTTCAAACAAAATATTTATAATGTTCTACCAATTGGGCCTGGCAGAAGGCGAGCACCGAAGAAAGTACGCAAATTGTTTGAACCTAAGTCGTAACTTAAAGCCCAGCACAAAAAATGCTGAATAATCGCAGTAAAGTGACGTGAAAGCCTTTTAGCACACATTTAAAGCAATAAAGCCGCATCCACGTACGCCATAAATGTCGATGCGGTGACAGACATGTTTAATGCAAAAGCTGTTGCCTCTTATATTCCGTTTTATTGTCGCTTTGTGGCATATCAAATATGCGCAATAATTACACTTAATTCGTTGCACTACCTTTTGCCCATGGATAAACATTAAAAAATCATGATAAATCCGATCTATTTGGACTTAATAAGCCATTAGTAAGTCGAGTTGGTTAACCGCAACGAAAGTGAATTTGTTTTTTGTGCCATGCCACACCATGCCTATAGATTTCTCTTACCGCAAATAAAACGCCACAAAAGAAATGTGAGACAAGCAGACAGACCTAGAGCAAAAGTTTAAAAAACTTTTTCAAAATATTTGCACGCTATTCCCGAACAGAGTCTGAGCTACAGAGGCACGCATAAAGTGAAATTAGTAATCTATTAGATACATTCACCGGGGCGGGCGTTCGACTGAAACTGAATCCGAAAATTAAGCTGCAACCGAAACCGAAAGCGGCCTCGACTGGCTCTCTCAGCCATTGATGCGATTCCCTTGCGGGGCATGCATACTGTTTCAACTTTAACTTTACATAACTTCTTGTTCAACATTGCTCTTAAATGCCTTCCCACTTGATGGCAGCAGCTCTGTGATGTGTCTGGGATGCGCGTACGCGTATGTGTATCTGCACGAGAAATTGTCACATAAAAATGCAATAAAATCTCACGCAAATGCTGTCACTGACAGCTACAGCCCCAGTCCCAGCAGCAGCAGCAGCAGCAGCAATGGCAGCAATGACAGTGTACAGGGAAAGCTTGTTACCTTCTTCCGAACGTAATCTGGCTGGCAACGGCTGGCGGAAGGTTGGCCATTTTCAAGTGTCATTAAGATGAATGTAATTGAATCATTATTAAAAGAGCAGAAAGTATGCGAGTGAAAGGGCCAGGGCCGTTGTCAACGTTGTCAGAACGAGCGGCGAGTTAAACAAATTAAGTAAATCCCACAACTTACATAAGTTCCACAAAAAAAAACCATCAAGAGGAAAAGTTCTATGGTTTCTATGCCGCTAACCCTTCAATTCAGTCGCCTAACGGTCAGGCTTGGGTCGGGTCTTCGACTCGGCTTGAACTCAAAGAGAGTACTTACATCATAGTTAAGGTTGGAGCAGTTTCTGCCTGAGGCGTCGTTGGGCGAGTTCTTCTGCTGTTGCTGGTGATGGTCCCTCCCGAAACTTGATTTAGCAGCCCATTATTTTTATAGCAATTGTGTACTCGTACTCCGTATACAGTAGTTTTTTTTTATGGGTATTTCTGTGGCATGACATAAGTCAACATGGCACTTTAATAGAATGCCTTTAATATGAAAAGCCATAACACAACGCGTCTCGTTACATGAAACATATTGCTGGCCGTTTGTTTATATTACGCATACGTCCTGTGCCACGGAGAGCCACTAAGTCGAGGCTCGTTAAAAGTAATAATCACAAGTCATGTAGCTGCAGCTGTGCGCGCTATTCAGTACAATTGATTGCATTAAACACATGATTAGCATTGGCCATATATATATATATATATCAAGTAGTCTGGAGAGGCACTTATGTCTAGGCTACTTATTCTCTACTAATTCCAATAAGCTCAAAATAAAATTCCATTAGGTCAATGGAGGTCAGTCAGTCAGTCAGTTCCCTGACTGCTGTCGATAGAAGTCTCCCAAAAATCTGGCATACTAACCCAAATTGGTCAGCTCTTCGGATTGATATCTTGGTTATTTTTATCTTTTGTTGCGAATGGTTATTGAATTGGGGGGGGCCCCCTCAGTGCGGAAGGTAATGGAATTTTTATTCGACAACTTGATTGCTTTTTATTGTCACCAATTCCGTTCTCTATTTGTGTGCTCGTAGACACTTCATTTCCCATATAAATACAAAGTTTGAAAATTCTCTGCCTCTCGGCCAAAAATATTCACAGACCACAGCCGGACGATTGCTGACCCAGTTTGAATACCGAATTTGGAGATCCATACAGGTGGATACCTGTGAATACAGGTGGGTAAACATACACACGCATTAGCCTAATAAATACATAATAAAATTCACTTTGTATTCTGTCCTGATAGCCCGAAAAATCTCGTTTGTGGTGGATCCCAAATGGCCGTGAAAAGCGCAGCCAGCCGCTGTGCAGAATCACCGTCCAACGAGCAGACAAACTGCACTTGAAACAATCCAAGTTAACTGGAAAGCGCAGCCAAACAACTTTCAGCGGTCAATGCAACAACGGCAGCAGCAGCAGCAGCAAACAACAAACTACAGTTAGGGTTTTGAGCCGCGGAAGAATCTTGTGGCAATATTGCAACGGCAACGTGTGAATGCAGAGGAAGATCAGCGGATGGCAACTGCAATGCGAAGAGTTAACGACGTCAACAGAGCCGCCAACTGAACGAAGCCCAGAGATAGATAGAGGAAGAGAGAGACACAGAGAAAGAGAGAGAGAGCAAAGCCAAAAGAGCGACCAGTTTGCCCGGGCTGGCCATGATCTTGGCTTACAGCACGAGCGCTTCCCACCTCAGTTGTCGGCCAGACGCGCACGCATGCGCACGCGAAAACCAGCTAACCGGGCATAAGCTGCATAAAGTATCTGCGAGATACAACGAAACGATTCACGCGTTCACCGTTAGGCCGTAGGTGTGTCGCAGGCCTTGATGAAGTAATTGCAGGCAGTTGCTAGCCTACCACAATTCACAGCTCTTTTTCTGGCCAAGAGACGGTTAAAGCAAATAGAAACCGCGACGCTAAATGTGGCAGCGAAACTCCAAACAAACAAACCAGTCCAAAGTAAATACGTGAAGAAAGTACAATCAAAAAAACAAGACAAAACAACGCCAGCCACGCACTGTCCGAAAGAATTTACCAGTGGAGGAGAGAAGCGGAGCAGGAGGAGGAAATCAATGAAATTGTGTTTGCGGGCTAATCTGGTTTTACTCGGAACAGTTTGCTCACTGCTCACAAATTGATTTGTCAAGTGGCTAACGATTTCGCCAATAAAGTCTTCTGCCCAGCCATTGTGTCCGGCCCAGACAACGGGCGTTCCTAAGCAGCGTTCAAAGTTCCCAAACACGTAGACGGACAGTCAGTCAAGCGGATCCAAATAAATAAACAGCTTCGGACAGGCAAATTGCAGAGCGGGGCATATTGATTGCCTTGCCGTTTCTTTGCGCAATTGCAGGTTAAAGGTGTAAACAGCCAGCACCGCCATCACCGACAGTTGTTTCAAGGAAGTGCTAATCGGAGAAGGTGAAACTGAAATTGAAATTGAAAATGCACAGTCCGGCGGCACACAAGCTCGTACAGAGCGTACAGATGCTCCATAATTGGACGTCAAGTGAGAGTCAGCAGCAGCGCACATCCTCAAAGCGGTCCAGTAGAAATCGCACCTGCAGTCGAAATCGTAGTCGGAATCGAAAACAGAGTCAGAGCCACCCAGGTAGCAGCATGGTCAAATCAAACACATGGCTTCTGCTCTTGGCCATGCTCTGTCTAATCAACTTTGTCGCCAAAGCGGATGAGACTGCACTGAACGGACGCATTGGCCGCCATCTATCCACAACACCTTTGACAGCGACAGAGTCAGCGACAGACACAGCGACAGAGTTAGCGACAGACACTACGACAGAGTTAGCGACAGAGCAGCCAACAGAGTCCGCTACGGAACTGGCTCAGGAAGAGTGGCAGCCTGTGGTGGATGCCACACCGATGCCGGTCAGGAAGCGGATGAGTGAAGGAGCCGGGAGCAGTGATTCCGTGCTGCTGCGTTTGGCCCGTCGCTTTACCAGCGGCAACGAGCTCTGGGATGGCCTCATTCGCGACTGCTATCTCCGGCCAGACATCTCGTGTTTTCAAAAGAACGTTTTCAGCTATCTAAACGACGCCCTCGATGTGCAGGATGTGAATGTGACACAGCGCCTCAAGTTCTTTAAGAATCAGGTGCAGTACGAGGCGGATAAGGAGCAGCAGCAGCACAATGCAAACGAGATTCCCAATAGGGCGCGTGCCGGTAAGTGTTTTTCCCCATTCCTCGGCCATTTATCAAGAATTCGAACCACAAAGTCTTATGTAAGAGGCGCTCAAACCCTTCGGCGCGCCTTGCCTCATAACTGAATGCCAGCTCGCATGCCAGTCGCTTGTTCGATCAGTTTTCACATTTGATTCTTGTCTTCTTCGTGTTTTTGTTGTTGTTATTTACCTCTACCTGGGCACGTTCACCGCCAACTGAAAGAAAACTTTCACTTGATGGGTTTTGATTTGATTTTTTATGTATCTTTACTGCGAGACCTCGAAGAGAGTAGTAAAACGATCTCTCGCTTCATGTGAGTCACGGCGCTTTGACGCGCTCAATTACTCGCCCTTTTTTTGTGGTAACAGTCAATGGTTTCTTTGGCCAATGATGCCACGGCAAAATACTTAAACTACTGTAACAATTGCCCATTAACAATAATTAAACCGGTCGTCGGGAGTTATGCAAGCGCTAAACATTGTTTAGAATTAGCAAAGAAACTGAAGCGATTGGTATTTATGCAATCGAGGTTTGGTTCCGTTCTCCACTTTCCATAACCCAAATATGCCAGTCAGTCAACTCACATTTCACCTCATGAATCTCTCTCTCTGTCACTCGCCCATAGCCAACCCGGCGGAAACCCCCATCGAGGAAGTGACAACTGCGCTGTATGGCAAGAGTATAAAATTTGCAATGACCCACGATCTGGAAGTGGATTTACCAGAAGTAATGTTCAATGGCGCCACGTTTCGCATCTCGCCGCGTTCGATCGAAGGCAATGGAATCATTGCCAAGCTGGAGCTAATACCCAAACAGGTGGTCCAAGCCCGGCTGGCTGGCATGATAATCAAGAAGAAAATACGTAAGTAATATTCGTTTGTGTTTGGTCTGGCCTGTGACTGCTGTTGCTGCTGCTGTTGCTGCTGCTGTTGCTGCTGCTGCTGCAGATGAGAAGCGCTTTCACTCTCTCGAGTGCGAAATACTGCAGCCAATGCAACCGGCAGACGAAAAATGCTCAAAAAAAAGTCTGATTTCATTTCTACTTTCGTTCATTTCTCTGGTAGAAAAATTTCTACGCAGCAAAATTGTGCTATCATTTCTGGCCTTGCTGCTTATCATCAAGATCATCAAGATCAAGTTATTCTGGTTGCTTCCGATCGTCATTGGCGTTGGTGCGGCCAAGAAGCTGCTCCTGAAGTTCCTGCTCTTCCTGTTCCCAGCATTGTCGCACCTCTTTAAGCTGTGCTCGCACTACCAGCAATCGTATCATGCGCCCCTTAAGTACCACCATCATCATCACCTAATCGATCACCATCACACGGCAAGTATAAAAGATACAAATAATATTTCTTCTAGCATCTCTAACTGGTTTTTGGGGTCAGATCAACACAAAAATGGAAGCGAGCGGTGCATGAAAGGGAAATTTTCATTAAACAGCTTAAGTCTAAGCATATTTTGTCTATCTGCCTGCCGGTCGGAAGTGTCGTCTAGGTTGTTGGTGTGCTCCATCCACTCCACGGAAATTCAATTAAAAAAGTACAAGTACTACAAGTACCTACAAGTCTCAGTTGAAAAGTATTTTCAATGAAAGCAGGAGCTAGCACGTGCTCAATGTGAACTCAGACGCTGACACAGACAGCTCTCAGCTTGACATATCGTCAAACGAAATCCCCCGTCTTTGGTAAATGTTCTCGTTGGCGAGGATTATAGCTGGGCTCCCACCTGCATCTCCCAGCCACACTTGTCAGCCGGAAAGGAGTGCACAAGCGTAGATACTCGTACTCGTACTCGTATTTATGAGATATTTATATTCGCGCTTGAAAGTTCAGCGTGGGCAAATGCCATTGATGCTAAACCAGGGCCTGGCAAAGGCGCCGATGCTTAAGCGCTTGGGGATAATCCGGGTTCCCGTGTTTGCTTATAAAATTCTATCGAAGCCAGCTTGCGACATCTTCGACTGAGTAAGGTTTTATTCAATAATAAAAGTATTTATTTTCCATTTAAAATCCTTAATGGCTGTCACGTAGTCAGTGGCAATTGATTTTTTTTTGCCGACTATTAAATGATTTAAAAGAATGTTGTTAATGGAGAAAACTTGTAGCCAAGGGGAAGACATGTTCAATCAAATATGTACATTTTTTCAAGCGTTGATTGTGGAAAGTTACGCGAAAAGAATC